CACCCCTCTCTTCCCCCACCCCCATCACTCACTCCTTGGGTCTCCCATTCCCTAAGACACAACAGTATGGAAATTAGGATTAATAACCCTACAATGGCCTCTAAGTGTCCAAGAGAAAAAAAAGTCACACATCTCTCACTTTTGATTTAAAACTAGAAATGATTAAACTTAGTAGGGAAGGCATGTACAAAGTTGAGATAGGCCAAAAGCTTGGCTTCTTGCACCAAGCAGTTAGCCAAGTTGTGAATGAAGGATATTAAAAGTGCTACTCCAGTGGACATATGAATCTTAAGAAAGTGAAATAGCCTCTTTGCTGATATGAAGTTGCAATGTTCTGGTAGAAGATCAAACAAGCTACAACATTCCCTTAACCAAAGCCTAATCCAGAGCAAGACCCTAATGCTCTTCAATTCTATGAAGACTGAGAGAGGTGAGGAAGCTTCAGAAGAAAAGTTGGAAGCTAGCAGATGTTGGCTCACAAGGTTTAAGGAAAAAAGCCATCTCTATAACATAAAAGTGCAAAATGAAACAGCAAGTGCTGGTATAGAAGCTGCAAGTTCTCCAGAAGCTTTAGCTAAGATAATTGATAAAGGTGGCTATACCAAACAACAGATTTTCAATATAGACAAAACAGCCTTTTATTAGAAAAAGCTGCCATCTAGGACTTTCAAAGCTTAAAAAAAAAAGTCAATTTCTGATAGGATAGGATAGGCTGATTCTCTTGCTAGTGACTAATTCAGCCGGTGACTTTAAGTTGATGTCAATACTCATTTACTATTCCAAAAAATCCTAGAGCCCTTAAGAATTATGCTAAATCAGGCCAGGTCCAGTGGCTAACGCCTATAATCCCAGCACTTTGGGAGGCTGAGGTGAGAAGATTACCTGAGCCCATGGGTTGAGACCAACCTGGGCAACTTGGCAAGACCTCATCTCTACAATAAATCAAAAAAATTAGCCAGGCGTGGTGTCACAGGCCTGTAGTTCAGCTTCTTGGAAGGCTGAGGCAAAAGGATTACCTGAGCCCAGCAGGTCAAGGCTGTGGTGGCCATGAGCATGCCTGCACTCCAGCCTGGGTAACAGAGTAAGACTCCAACTCAAAAAAAAAAAAAAAAAAAGAGAGAGAGAAAACAATAATTATGCTAAATCTACTCTGCCTGTGCTCTATCAATGGAACAACAAAACTTAGATGACAGCACATCTGTTTACATCACAGTTTACTGAATGTTTTAAGCACACTGTTGAGACCTACTGCTCAGGAAAAAAAAAGATTCCTTTCAAAATAGTACTGCTTATTGACGATGCGCCTGGTCACCCAGGAGTTCTAATGGAGATGTTCAAGGATAGTAATGTTGTTTCATGCCTGCTAACACGACATCCATACTGCAGCCCAAGGATCAAGGAGTAATTTTTGCTTTCAAGTCTTATTATTTAAGAAATACATTTTGTAAGGCTGTAGCTGCCATAGTGATTCCTCTGATACATTGGGTAAAGTAAATTAGAAATTTTCAGAAAAGGATTCACTATTCTTGATGCCACTAAGAACATTTGGGATTCATGGGAGGAGGTCAGAATATCATTAACAGAAGTTGAGAAGAAGTTGATTCTAACATTCATGGATGACTTTGAGGGGTTCAGAACTTCAGTGAAGGAAGTAACTGCAGATGTGATGGAAACAGTATGAGAACTAAAATTGCAAGTAGAGCTTGAAGACGCATCTACATTGCTGCACTCTCATGATAAACCTTTGATGAATGAGAAGTTGCTCCTTATAAATAAGGAAAAAAAGTGATTTCTTGAGATAAAATCTATTCCTGATGAAGATGCTATGAACATTGTTGAAATGACAACAAAGGACTTAGACTGTTACATAAACTTAGTTGATAAAACAGCAGCAGGATTTGAAAGAATTGACTCCAATGTTGAAAACAGTTCTGTGAGTAAAATGCTATAAAGCAGCATTGCATACTACAGAGAAATCTATTATGAAAGGAAGTCAATCAGTGCAGCACGTTTTATTGTCTTATTTCAAAAAATTGCCAGAGTTACTCCATCCCTCAGCAGCCACCACCCTGAGGGCAAGATCCTCAACCAGCAAAAAGATTACAACTTTTTGAAGGTTCAGATGTTTGTTAGCATTTTTTAGCAATAAATTATTTTAATGAAGATTTGTACATTGCTTCTTTAAACATAATCACTATGGCACACTTGAAAGACTACAAGCGTGTAAATATAACTTTTATTTGCACTGGGAAGCCAAAACTTTTGTGTGACTCACTTTATTTCAATATTCATTTTATTGCAGTTATCTGGAATCGAACCCACATACCTTGAAAAATACCTGTATTTTATTTTAACTTTTAATTTTTTTATTTTAAAGATGTGGAGTACAATTCAGGGTTAGGTATACAAATGTTCATTATGCAGGTACCCTTGTTGATGAGGTACGACCCCCCCTTCCCCAGGCAGATCCCCACGATTGCCAATCCCGCTTCCCCACCCCCCTCCTGAAAGTTTTCTTCTACTGCCAATCCTTTTCTTATAGTATTACGAAATTGTTCAAGGTTCGCTTATGTGTGAGAACATGTGATACTCAGTTCTTTGTTTCTGTGACATATCACTCAGTATTATAGACTCTAAGTCCACCCAGATTGCTGTGAAGTTCATGATTCGTTCTTTCTTATGGCTGTGTAATATTCCATCATGTATATGTACCACATTTTTTTAATCTAGTATTCTTTTGATGGGCAGCACAGTTGGTTCCATGTTCTTGCTATTGTGAACAATGCTGTGATAAACGTACGTGTGCAGGTATCTTTTTTATAGAGTGACCTGAGTTCTTCCAGGTATAGTCCCAGTAGGGGGATTGTGAGGTCATATGGAAGGTCGATTTTTAGGTCTTTTAGGAATCGCCACACTGTTTTCCACAGAGGCTGTACTAGTTTACGTTCCCACCAACAGTGTAGAAGTGTTCCCTTTTCACTGTATCCTCTCCAGCATCTGTTGTTTTTTGAGTTATTGATGATAGTCATTCTGACTGAAGTTAGGTGGTGGTATCTCAGGGTAGTTTTAATTTGCATTTCTTTGATGATTAGTGAGGTTGAAATGCCAGTATTTGTAATGTACTCAGAACAGTGTCTGGCACTTACAATGTTAGCTATAATGTTACTGTTGCTATTATGATTATTTGAATAATAGTCATTATTATCTTTAATGTACATTTCCCACTTTGAATAAATTGTCTATTTCATAATTACCTGGGTCCAACTGAAGGCTGTCCTTTCATCCTATCTGTTCTTTTCTCTGGAGAAATATTTGTGTTTGAAAGATGCTGAGGGAGGATAGGGGAACATAACAACGCAAAGAGTACCTAATCCTATAACGGGGGAGTGAGGGCCAGAGGGTCACCTGCGTGTAGCCTGTTTGTGTAGTTAATCCTGATTTGTACCCCACATCTCTATAATAAAATAAAATCGAATTAAATCTTTTAAAAAATAAAGATGCTAGGAGTCAGGTAACTCTGTACTTCATTACAGAGTTCCTGGCTTCTGCATAGCAAAGAGGTCATAGAGATATAGCATTTTCTTGGACTCTTCCTGAACACTGATTTTACCTCACTGACTGAAGTCTGAAAAATACTAAGCTCTACTTGTTTGCTTTTAGGAATCAATCAGTGATTTCTACTGGTATTATTCAGGGAAGGACATCATTGATGAATCTGGACAGCATAATTTTTCCAAAGCTCTGGCAGTCACCAAGCAAATTTTCAATTCTCTTACAGAATACATCCAGGTATGTGCTACAGAGTCCGTTCTTGAAAACAAAGAGAACATTGTGACATGCCCATATTCTGTAGACCCTATAGAATATTTGGATGCACATAGTGGACTGTGCATCTAGCCCCAATGTGGCAATATTTCTTGTCTATAAATAGGAACCAATAGTTCCTGCACTCTATAAGAAGCTATAGTTTTGGTCCCTCAGTGGGCCTATTCATGGTTTTGTCGCATTTCACTTACATTTATCTAGTTAGATTTGCTTTCCTTCCTAGACTGAAAACTTTTTATGAACATAAAATTACGTCATCAACTTAAAATTCTTCATGACTACAACAATGGCACATAAAAGGTGCTCATTCAGTGTGAAGAGTGGAGTAGAGAAATGATTGGCATAACAAAGGAATAAAGAGATCTATGAATAAAGAGATCTATGAATCTATGAGTAAAGAATCTATGAATCTATGAGATCCTACTAATTTGTCAGAAATTAACTGTGTGGAAAAGTAACGTCAGAAGTACATAAACTATGTGCCATAGCAGTCCAATCTACAAGTGAATTTCTTGTTGAATATCTAAACCTTGCAGCAGTCTTTTTGTGTTCCCAGCATTCTCTATTCATTGCCAGTGGTGGTCTAGCTAATGTGAAAAGGGATTGGGGGTGTATTCAGGCATAATGTGCTATAAAATCAGCAAGCATATCATAACCCTCTATGAAATAAGACTTTTTTCGGCAAAAGTAACATTTTCTCTTCAGATTACCATAATCAGGAGACTTGTGAATAAGACTCTCATTCATTCATTCAGCAAAACACTTAGCTTGTGCTTTGTACTGTAGTACGAGAGAAGAAGTGTAATGCATTGCTTCTATCCATAAAGCGCTTACAATGCAATTGAGAAAATATATGTACATGAGGAAAATGATCATATGTGATTTAAAATAATCGTATATACTCTGCTTAAGAACTATGTATGTATGAGTTCAGAAGAAAGCAGAGTCTTTAAGAGTCAAAGGGCTCCAGGTTTTCACAAGAGTATATGGACTATGGATGAATCGAGAGAAGGAAGTATATTCTCAGTCATTTGGAAAAGTTACAAAGATAGGATTGTGCATGGCTTCATGAGGAATCATGTCAGCAATTACATCAATCTTGCTAAAAAAAAAAAAGTAAAGAAAGTGAAGGAAAGAAATGGGGAATATTTCATCCCTTTTCATGTGTACCTTCATTTCTTTCCCAAAGAACATTCTGTATTCCAAGAGTCTAAGAGTAATTTTTAGTGCTCTCCCCTTTTTATCACAGGTAATAATGTTGAGCTGAAACTTGTCCTATGAAAAACACTAAATTCTCACTTAATAAAGATCTATATGATGAGACAACTGGTACACTCAGGTCATATTTTCTCATTAAAATAAACATAAAACGATCAACTAACTAGGGAGGATTTTAAGAAGGAAATGGATTCTTGTCATTCAAACATCCATTTGAGAGATAAACCTAGAGCAGATGACTAATCTAAAGTTTCACAGTATGAGATATACCTAAGGAGATCATTGAACATATTTGGCAAGCATCTGATTTGATTCCTGCAAAACCCATCTTTATCTGCAGAAAGTCCTGTGGAGCACTTCTTCCAAAAGTAAAGGAGAAGCTCATTTTTGGTGAATGTGAGTTTCTCTCAACAACCAATTTTGTTCCTCACCAAAAATCTACTAGCATCTAGGGCTCAGACACTGAATTTTTGTAAACAGTGATTTTTAAACAAATTTTTGTGATTTGGGAATGCAGGTAATATTTCTCCTGCTCACCTCTTTCTTGGAAATCCTGCCAAGACTTTTCTAGAACTTGAGGTAATAACTTTCCCTTTGTGAACTTTCTTATTGAAGAGTGATCTGGAGATTGGCTGAAGGGTAGGAAAAAAATAGACTATAAAGAGAAAAGGATAAGAAGTGTTGGTTCAATAATGGTCTTCAAAAATAGGAAGGTTATTAACATGCACTGTGCAAACTGACAATTAAGTCATCTTTCTACATTTGACTCTCAGATGGTATTATATCTGAAGTTTAAGTTAGTGATAAGAAAATCCTAGAAGTGACTGAACACAAGGATTATTACACAAATTTTGTTTTTACTTGGTTAGATAACGTCATGTTGATAGCATTTATGTGTAACTTTGCCTGAAAACAATAGGTGGCCTGGTACCTGGCATTTACACTGTGCTCCACAGCCCCCTTGAGTGCCTCCAAAGGCCTCTGAGGTTAAGTTGTGGGTGAGGGTGGGCAGCCTTGTGTCAACCACAGCATTTCACTATCTTAAATATTGTTCTCCAATGTAAGATTTTATTTGAAGAACTCATTATGAGGGTGAAAGTAACCAGTCTGCAAAATCTCTACTGGTTTTCCCTAGACGTGGTAAACTACAATCATGAAGGAAAAAAAAATGATAGAACAAAGGAATAAAGGGAGAAATGATGTTCTCTTGAGTGGAAATTAGAACCAGAATCCATGAGCCCCTATTAATTACTTTCTGGTAAAAGTAATTCCAGAAGTACATGACAGTAATACCCTGGGAAAATATTGAACTACGAAATGTGTGACTCTTAGAAAGTGTTGTCTACATATAAGGAGGTATCAAATGCCCTTACTAGGACAGGTTTCAGAGCAGCTTGTGAAGTTTAAGTGAAATAAGGATGTCCTCCTCTCCACAGGGCCCCTGCATTGGGAACCAGCAGAGCCTGGCTCACAGCAGACTGTGGGATGCAGTGGTCGGCTTCCTCCATGTATTTGCTAACATGCAGATGAAACTCTCTCAGGTACTGTGGCCTGTTCCCTGCACGTATCATTGGTGTCAAATGCTAAGTCAGTCCTCACTCCTTGGTATTTCCGTTGTGGATGTGGCTGCTTGATCAAAGGCTGGAAAAGCCATGCAGATTAGGTCTCAGTTTTAAAGCTGAGGGCCAAATTCAAAGACAGGAATGAATGCCTTTTGGTGAGGGAGGGGGGTTTCCAGATAGGCTTTTGCATGAATGCGGCTTCCTTCCTTGTGTCCCACCAACTTACCCTTTCTATTATTGCCTCAATACTTGCTTTCTATGGCGAATCCTTTTTGCTTCTTTGTCACTGTTTTGTCAACTTACAAACATCACCTACCAGCCCTGTCTGATCTGTCCATTGTTGCATGTCTCTGTAATCACACACCCTTCTCTCTCACCTCTGCTTCCACCTCCCTCCCCATCTCTGCCTCTCCTTCTCACTCCCCATCTCTCTGGCAAGATGAATCAGAACCACTCAGAGCATTTATTATGAACAAATAAATGTAACATATGTAGTAGTTTATCACCTCTCTCCATGGCAACACATGACAGAGACCTTCAGGATGCGTTTCAGGCTGATTAAAGTACATTTGCAGCTTTAATTTGTATAATGTGTATCTAAAATGTTCAAGGCTGTCACATCTGCCTCCTCTCTTCTGGAATGTGCTATTTAACCCTTTCATTTTTCCCCTTTTGACTCTGGCCTTATGGGAGGAGAGAGTTCCTGGGAGGGCTGCCAATTTGACAGTAGGGTGTTCACCCCTATATCAGCTAGGGCAGTGTGCTGTAGAGGCTCTGAGACAAGCGCCTGGCACTGCCACGTCCTCACCAGTGACTTTCGGATGGTCACTTCCCCTTTCAAGTTTTGTTCTTATCATCTATGAAATATTCAGAGTTAGAATAGATGATCTCTGAGGTCTCTTCCCAGCTCTAATATTCTACATTTCTATGATATTTTGTATAAGCTATGACATGCATCATAGGTGAGGGGAAATTCCTCTGAAATTTGAAGGGCTAGGCAAAGAGCTATGGGTTTTTTTGTTTGTTTGTTGTTTTTTTTTTATTGTGAGGTGTGACCCATAATACATTTTTTATATTGTAACCTCAGATTGCCCACCTCAGATCCTCCAAGGATCGTTTCCTTTGATGTGGAGCACTAGCTGAGCAATGCCTTTTCTGCATTGCTGGAATTAAAACCAAACAGACTAGTATCAAACCATCCAGAGGAATAACCACAATTATATACCATCTTAAGGGACCAGTGGCACCCAGATCACCACCAACTAGAATCAAGAGAATCGACATTAAGCCAGAAAGAAAGGAGAACCCTTTGGTGACACCTTAATACCTTAAATGGACTGCAACAGTATTCCCATAAGGCTCATTGGTAATTCCCCAGTATAGAAAATGACAGCATAAACGACTAGAGAAGTCACTGGTGGATTGGGTTGTTCAGTAGTTTTGGACAACAGTGAGTATATCTGCCACATGGTAGTAATAAAAGGAAAAATGTAAAGGAAGGAGCCCTACTGATGAGACCGGCTACAGTGAGTCTTCCGTGCTGCAAACAGTGGATGATGAGACATCCTCATTCACAATGAAAAGGGAGTTCATTCCTGACATTGATGCAGCCTTCACCTAACCTCTCCACGGCAGGCTCTTCTTGCTCACTGCCCTGTACTTTGCTGAGGGATCAGATAGCTCAGGGGTATCTCCTGTTTCTGTTCTAGGATTCCAGTCAGATCGAGCTGCTGAAGGAACTCTTGGATCTCCTTCAGGACATGGTGGTGATGCTTCTGTCCCTCCTGGAAGGTTGGGCTGTTTGGTATAACTAGGCATTCACACAACTGTCATTGGTCTGAGCACTAACCTTACTAATCACGCAGATTATCCTGGCAGACCACTGATGCCATAGGACACTGGTCAGAAAGCCAAATTTTCAGAAACAAAAAAATGAGTGAGGGGCACGTGGTCTGATGGAGGAAGCCTGAAAGCAACTCATTTTATATCAGTAGGAAAGCCAGAATGAACTGGGGAAAACCTCCAAGCTTTGCTCTTCCCTGTCCTCTCCCTTTCCCCATTGCTTTTCAACACATCTGGCTGCCAGTGTGTATGCCAGCCATCTAGTTGGGCACCCTCCTAGTTCTAAGGGGATAAGAGGGACACCATGTATCCCTATTTGTCCCCAGTAATCTGATCATGAAACCACTTTCCAGGCCCCAAGCCAGATAAAAGGCTGCGGTGTGGCCATCTCCTTCTTCCCTTTGTTTCTTTCCCCCTTGGCTCCTAGTGGTGTAGTCTTTATGGCTTGCTGCTCCCTCTCACATCATCATGGTCAGAAAAGAGCTGACTAATTTGGCATATAAGTCTTCTAACAGTAGCTACCTGGCAAGTTACATGATGGCTTGGGTTTATTTATATATTTGTATGTCTTTCTGAACCTACCTCACAGGGAATGTGGTAAATGGAACTATTGGCAAGCAGATGGTTGACACACTGGTAGAATCATCTACCAATGTAGAAATGATCTTGAAATTCTTTGACATGTTCTTGAAACTTAAAGACTTAACCAGCTCAGACACCTTCAAAGAATATGACCCAGATGGTAAAGAGATTATTTCCAAAAAAGAATTCCAGAAGGCCATGGAAGGGCAAAAACAGTACACACAGTCAGAGATTGACTTTCTCCTTTCATGTGCAGAAGCCGATGAGAATGACATGTTTAATTACATTGATTTTGTAGACCGGTTTCATGAACCGGCCAAGGACATAGGGTTTAATGTGGCCGTGTTATTGACAAATCTCTCTGAACATATGCCAAATGATTCTCGCCTGAAATGTCTGTTGGACCCAGCAGAAAGCGTGCTCAATTACTTCGAACCGTACCTAGGACGAATTGAGATCATGGGTGGGGCCAAGAAAATTGAGCGTGTTTATTTTGAGATCAGTGAATCTAGTCGAACTCAGTGGGAGAAGCCCCAAGTGAAGGAATCTAAGCGACAGTTCATCTTTGATGTTGTCAATGAAGGTGGGGAGCAAGAAAAGATGGAACTGTTTGTGAACTTCTGTGAGGATACCATCTTTGAAATGCAGCTAGCATCTCAGATCTCTGAATCCGATTCAGCTGACAGGCCAGAAGAAGAGGAGGAAGAAGATGAAGATTCTTCTTACGCATTAGAAATAGAGGGTGAAGAGGAGGAAGACAGGTCTTTTGAGTCTGCCTCTGCATTTGCCATGGCCTGGGCTTCAGTGAAGAGGAATGTGGCCAACTTTCTGAAGAAGGCAACCCTAAAGAACCTCAGGAAGCAATACAGGAATGTCAAAAAGATGACTGCGAAGGAGCTGGTAAAGGTTTTCTTCTCTTTTTTCTGGATGTTGTTTGTGGGGCTGTTCCAGCTGTTCTTCACCATAGTGGGAGGAATCTTCCAGATCCTCTGGAGCACGGTGTTTGGAGGGGGTCTGGTAGAAGGGGCAAAGAACATCAGAGTGACCAAGATCCTGGGTGACATGCCTGACCCAACCCAGTTTGGTATCCATGATGATGCTATGGAGGCTGAGAGGACAGAGGTGACGGAGCCGGGTATCGCCACAGAACTAGCACACTTTGTAAAGGGTGAGAAGGGAGATGCAGACATCATGTCAGACCTCTTTGGACTACATGCAAAGAAAGAAGGTAGTTTAAAGCACGGGCCTGAAGTGGGTTTGGGTGACCTCTCTGAAATTATTGGCAAGGATGAACCCCCGACGTTAGAGAATACTGTACGGAAGAAAAGGAAAGCACAGGTAAGCACTGTTTGTTTCTGTCATCTTTCTTTATCCCCAGAAAAAGACTTGCCACCATATCTTGCAATCAGTACTGACACCACTTGCCCGGGAGCCAACACTGTATTAGACACTGGCTCTGCTATGATTACCCTAGCCTTATCATTTCAGCTCTGGCATGTCTGAGGAGATCAAGACTAAAATGATTATCTTGGTGGCTAGTCATTGGGTGGTCTTCCACTTCCTGTTTGAGCTGAATAAATAATAAAAACACAGTAGAGTTCAAACATGATGATCTGTGACACTGACTTTGCTTCAAACTTTTATTAGAAGGTTAGTTTTTATGGTGCACACATTCATTCAGTGAACTGAAAACATCAAAAACCAAGTATAACATAAGAGTTCCTCTTGTGAGACAGTACTTTTTCACTGTCTTAAAAGGCCTAGGTGGTATCATATGACTTGGCACAGTCTCTCAATGAGTTTGATCATGCTCGAGACATTTTTATCCTTGTGAAACATCCACTATTCTCATTTAGCACTTCAAGTCAGTCAAGCAGCTTAAGTGAACAAGGTAGCAGTAATTCAAGGCCCTTTGGTCATGGAAGGTTCTGGGTGGTCCCTTCTCTTGCAGCATGAACTCATGGCATCATCCTAGCATCAAAAAGAAGTGTGAAGAAATCGGAGCCCAAAGACAACTTTTATTCACACATTCCATTATTATTCATTGAAAAGTTAATGTGTACTTGTCGCTGTTTTAGGCGCTGAGAATACAATGGTGAATGAGAAATGCCTTGTCCCTATAGTTTAGTGGGGGAGATAGACACCGGACAAGTCAACACAAGCATGAAGAATGCTAGGAAGGAGAAATGTCAGCCACTGTGTTTAGGAAAGAACTCTCACCCAGTTTGAAGAGTCAGGGAAGGAAGCATCAGATTCATGGGCATTCTTACAATATAATTAATTCTCTTTTGCTCCCTGATGTAGCCCCAGTGCCTAAAACAGAGTTTTATACATAATAAGAACTCATTCAGGGACTGCTCTGTGCTAGGCTTTGTTTTAGGATGTGTGAATACATTGGTTCAAAAGAATGACAACGTTTTTGCTTTTATAGAGCTTAACTTCTAGCGGGAGAATACAACAAATGGATAAACCATTTGTGCTGCATGTTAAAATAGATGAACATGCAATGTGTTGCAGATTGAATGTGGGCCCAGTATAAGTAGGGTGGTCAAGGAAGCTTCCGAAGAGGTGTCATCTTAGCCAAGTCCTGAAGGATGGCAAGCACATGAAAAGCTGGAGCAGTCATACTTCAGGCAGAGCATATGGCTAGTGCAAAGTCCCTAGTGCACAGGATTTGGAATGTTCCAGGAAGGGAAAAGAGGCCTGCATGTTTGAGTATAGGATCAAGTCAGATGGTACAAGATGGGGATAGAGAGAAAGTCCAGGAGCATGCAAGACTTGAATTTTATTCTGAGTGTAGTGGTCCTCAGCCAGAGGGATTGGGATAGATGCAAGAAGATTGAAGGTAAAGCAAGATCCTGTCAGATGAAAGCGGGTTCTGGATTGAACTTGTTTTGATCTGTGTCTTATCTTTCCCTGACCCCATAGAGTAGTAGGACCACTGCCAGGGGGCGCTCACAATGTCCTAGCACAAGTTTCCTGTTTGAGCTGAATAAATAATAAAAACACAGTAGAGTTTTCAAGTTTGAAATCTTTATCTTGGCATCTCTCAAGTCACTTGATATATAGTAGGACACATGTTTGGTGATCCTGAGAGAAGTAGAAACACAAAAAGAAAAAGTCATTGGAATGTGTGACCAAGAAGAAAATGGCCAACAATATGGTTCATTATCATGAACTTGCTTCTTTGAGGGAAGCTTGACCGATTGTATTTTTGTCTAGGCAGCAGAGATGAAGGCAGCACATGAAGCAGAAGGAAAACTAGAATCTGAGAAGGCAGAGTAAGTTCTTGGGAGCATCAATACGCTAATTGCTGTGGTAGATAGTTCTTGATAGATTCTACTATTCTGTGACTGTAGTAAATACTAATAGAAAATTTGATTCCTATTAATGCAAGCAATATATATTCTGTAGGCTCTGGCCGTATTTCCTTTTACCCCAGCTATGTAATAAACACATCCTATTCATCTTGTTAACATAGCCAGACACAGTGCTTATGCCTGCAATCTCAGTGCTTTGGGAGGCCAAGGCAGGAAAATCACTTGAGGCCAGGAATTCAAGATCAGCCTGGGCAACATAGAAAGACCCCATTTCTATTTCTAAAAAATTAGCTGGGCATTGTGGCACATACCTATACACCTAGTTACTTAAGAGACCGGGGTGGGAGGATCACTTGAGTCCAGGAGTTCCAGGCTGCAGGAGTTCCATTATTCCACTGCACTCCAGTTTGGACAACAGAGCAAGTCCCCATCTCTGAAAATATAGATAAATATTACAGTAAAATAACAAAATAAAAATTAATAATATTGTAAACTTGATAATCCCAACAGCAGATCAGAGTTTAATGACTTGGTCAAATGGTCAAGAACCTATACTTTGCAACTTTATATAATGATGATGACAATGATATCTAATATCTATTGAATGCCTATGACATGTCAGGCCTGTACTAAGCTCTTTATACAAGTATTAAATCTTGTCACAAGCTTGGAAGAATAGATACTAATGCTAACATCCAAGAAGGCTTATAAAATAAAGGATACTTTCCTGGAGTGAAAAAAAAAATGTATTAAGTCTATTTCAGAAAAGTACAACATAACTGGCATATACCTATGATTGTGACTCATCCAAGTGGTTGCCACCCATTAAATATAAATTTGATGTCTGGCCACTGGGGTGATCAAGACCTAAGGAATTCACCCTTGAGAAATGATTCCACCTCCCTCCTCTCTCAACCCAGACTTCTCTTTAACTTAGTCTCCCTCTCTGGGCCAGACCTACCTCTCTCCTGCTCCACTGAGTGGGCTTCTCATTCCTGCAGCATGGAAGATGGAGAAAAGGAAGACAAAGTCAAAGAGGAGGAGCAAGCTGAGTACCTGTGGGCAGAGGTGACAAAAAAGAAGAAGCGACGGCGTGGTCAGAAGGTTGAGAAGCCTCAAGCCTTCATGGCCAATTTCTTTAAAGGGCTGGAAATCTATCAGACCAAGTTACTGGTAAGTGCTCCAGCCCTAGCCTTATTCCTAGAGCAGGTGTCTGCCTGGACAGACTGCAGAGAGGTGCAGCTGACTTGTTTCACTGGTGGGTTATGCTTCTGCCCCTTTTTCACTCCTGTTCTTCGCCTCTTCTCCGTTATCTGCCTATCTCTTTTGTGTCAAGGAAAAGAAAAAGGGAATAACCGGGAAAGCGCTGCTGTCCTCTAGCAGCTCTGCCCAGCAGTGGGGTGTCCTCTCCGGCCTGTTTTCTCACCAGGAGAGCAGAAACACCTGTTGCCATCTGGTCCTTTACGTGTGTTATGTGGGGACTTACTTGTTTCTGGCCCGAAAGTTCAGAAGTAGTTTGGGATACATGTGGGATACAGAAAGAATCTCCTGTGTTAGGCCGGGTTCCCACACTTGGCCTCCAAAGCTTTATTATTCTGCATGCAATCAAACCTCAGTGCAGCTTGTATATTCTTTATCTGATAAATTGCCCACTAAGGTACTGTGACTAATGGCCAGGACCATACCTTCCCTGGCAATATGAATGAGGTTCCCCTCCATAAAGAGACAGGAAACTTGCCCCAAGCTGCTACCATTCCAGTCTTTAAGTGCCAATTTTTCCAAGGAAGATAACAGTGAGAATAGAAAAGTCCCAGAGGAGGACGAGGGAGAGGCTCCAGGGGCAGTAATTTACCAAAGGGATGAGGATTCTAGCCCACAGTCTGGCTGTATCCGGGGTGGCATCAGGTCTTTAGTGGGCCTAGGTCACTCATAATGTCCAAACAGACTATTTGCTGTGTGGAGTGATTGTGAAAACACATATAGTAGTGCTTGGGTCCTTTGCTGGTGGCATGTTTACACCTTTGAATCCCTGAGGGATAATCCAGAGCAGGGTTTTTCCGCGTGTTTAAAATTGTTTTATTTTTTTAAAAGCCAACATTTCTAGCTTCCTTCAAATAAGTCATGCCTGTGTTGGGAAGGCCAAGATTGCCCTAGAAGAGTATAACCAAAGAGTAGGGATAGGCCTGTGTGAACTTCTAACCAGAATAGATCTGTGTGAGGGAGAGAAGTTTTCTTTCCCTTTCAAAGCTCTTCTATTTTTGCCTGTCCTTTTCTTTTCAGCATTACCTGGCCAGAAATTTCTACAACCTGAGGTTCCTTGCTCTGTTTGTTGCCTTCGCTATCAATTTCATCCTGCTTTTTTATAAGGTAATACTTCATTCAGTGGTAATTTGCTAAATATGCTATATATTAAGTATACTAGATACAGTTTTTAAAATGCCAGAAGTTATGCTCTTAATTATAGCAAAAATTCTAACAGGCAAGGAAATTTCTAAGACATTGGCTTTGGAAAAGAATACAATCTTCAGCAATGGGAAGAATGGAGAGATTGCTGACAAGAGAGCAAGTTAGAGGACTGTTTCAATAGTTCAGGCTTGTTTCAGTCATTGCTTAACTTAATCTTCAGTTATTTGTTGATCATCTATTATGTTCTAGACTCTGTATTGGGAACCAAAAGGTATTTCAGGATGAATAATAAATATAGTTCTTACCTGAGAAATAAGGTAACCAAGAGCCATTGTTATTGGACCATACGTTAGAACCATTATTATGAAGGAAGAATTAACAAGATTTGGGAAGAGAGGAACTACTCAAGATAAATGAAGATTTTGAACATTGGCAAGTGAATCTTGCATGTGTAGATCTGAGTCAAATGTTTAAGAATGACCGTTGAAGCCATCAATGTAAATGGCATCTCAGAAAGAGTGGAAAATGGTCAGGGTAAAGGCATCCCACAACTGCGTGAGCTTGTGCATGTTTGTGTCTTAGCCTCCTCTCAGGTCACAGCATTATTACAGAGATTCCTTTTTGAGGCATAGGGATTACAGCATATGTACTAAAATTTCCCTAATTTTAATTTTTTGCTTTATCTTCAAGAGATAGATTTTGTCTCTTCTTTAAAATTGTGTTTGTAATTATTAGAGATACTGGGAGATTCTTAGTAATAAGTTACCTAAAAATCTCATTCATTCAGCAAGTGATGTTGAGTCACTACTATTTGCACAGCATATGCTCACAGTGTAAAACATGCGAGGGGACCCCAGTGATTGAGGCACGTTCTGATGTTCGTAAGTGTGTGTCTCGGGCCAGGTCACTGAAGAACCTTTAGAAGAAGAGACAGAGGATGTTGCAAATCTGTGGAACTCCTTTAATGACGAGGAAGAGGAAGAAGCGATGGTGTTCTTTGTCCTACAGGAGAGCACTGGGTATATGGCACCGACACTGCGGGCACTGGCCATTGTCCATACCATCATCTCTCTCGTCTGCGTAGTAGGCTATTACTGCCTGAAGGTGAGCTGCTTGCTGCCCTGGTTCTAATCTGACTCCTGGAGGCATCATTTTAGAGCCCAGCCAGCCCTTTGCTCTCAGACTTTGCTGATAGAGTAAGGTTCTTAAAGTGGCAGGGGTGCAGAATCACCCCAGGTCTTTTAAATCAGAATCTATAGCTTGACATTAACCCCTGCCCATTTGTATGCATATTCAAATTTGAGAAGCCTTACTCCTGGCGTCCCATTTCAGGCACTTCTCACTGAATTTCATAGAATTAGAGTCATCATCAGGCTAAGTCACATGGAAAGCCAGTCACAGAGGTTCTTCCGATCTTTGAATTGATGCTGAAAGGTCTATAAAAATACCTTTTTGTTAGGTTGTAACCATTTGAGATCTTAGAAGAAAACTTATTGATGTATGATTATTGTAGTTAACTGCTACTGCTTGACAAACCACTCCAAAAAGTGGTTTGAGAAACCATTTTTTCTCTCCTATTCCATGGGCTAACTGGGCACATTTGGGCAGCTCCTCCACTCCAGTGTGAAGGCACTGCATTTTCACCCGTCTGGGAGCTCAGCTGGGCTGGCATGGCCACATGGCTCATTCCCACACCTGGCACCCGCACCTTGGCAGGGGTTGGCAGGGGAACAGCTGGAAGGCTGGCTCAGCTGGAGTAGTTGGGTATCTCTGCCCCCACCCTCTCCTTCCAACCCCCCTCCCTCCCTCCCTCTCTCTCCATGTAGACTCAGGGCATCTCCTTCTCCATGTGGCCTCTCCACCTGATCTCTCCAGCAGGGTAGCTGTACTTCTTACATGATGGCTTTCCAAAACAAGCACAAAAGTAGAAGTGCCTAGTCCTTCTTAAGTTGTAGGCCCAGAACTGGCACAGCTTTAATTCCACCACATTCTGTTGTTTAAGCAAGTCACATGGCCAGCCCACATTCACTGTTACAAGGGGTAGGGGGAGCTACACAAGAGCATAAATACTCTTGGGAGGCAGGGATCACTGGGACTATCTTCGGACACAACTACGGTTACATCAATCTTCAGTCATTCCATTTCTGGTGTTCTAAGTCCAGTTCTAGTCCTATTGCGGCACAGTTTTATTTTCCTCACGACCTTGCTCATTATATATTTTCTTCCTTCTCTAGTGTAGGAAGTCTCCCTGACTATACACTAAGCCATCTTCTTCCTGGGAAGCATCCAGGAAATAAATTCCTGTTCCTTGTGGTCCTTTCTGTCTTGCTGGAAAGACCAGGTGCTCTGGGCCATACTAAGAATTCTATTGTAACAATGACAGTATAGATTCTGGAACCAAGCTGCCTAGGTTGAGTTCACAACTCTTTTTTTTTTTTTGAGTTGGAGTCTCACTCTGTCGCCCAGACTGGAGTGCAGTGGCCGCTCCCGGCCACCGCAGCCTCGACCTGCTGGGCTCCGGCAATCCTTCCGCCTCAGCTTTCCGAGCAGCTGGAACTACAGGCGTGCACTCCCATGCCCGGCTAATTTTTTATTTATTGTAGAGATGAGATCTCGCCAAGTTGCCCAGGCGGGTCTCGAACCCGCGGGCTCAGGCAATCCACTCACCTCAGCCTCCCAAAGGCGCGGGATTACAGGCTGAGCCACCGAGCCCAGCTAGAGTTCACAATTCTTCATCACCCTGGTCCTCTGTCTTCTCATCTATAAAAACGAGTACTGTAATAACACCCAAAGTTGCTGGGAAGATTAAATGAAGTAATATGCATAAATGTACCCAGCACACTGGACATGGTCAACCCTCAAGTGGTTCGCTAGTGTTCCTTAGTTTGAAATCCTAGAGCTCAATTTGTTGAGCAGGGTGGAGATATCATGGTGACCTAGAGAAAATAAAAAAGGAACACTGTCTAGTGAATAAAAATGTGGAAGTTCTCCTTACAAGGGTATACAAACTCCTAGAAGATTGAAGGGGAATGCTTCAAGTCCCAGAGATCAGCATTGCTCTAAGACTTAGTATGATTATTGTTCTTCATAGTCATTTCTGAGTACAACCGAGACTAGTCAGAGAAGCTTAGCTCTGCTCCCTTTCCACCTCATTCATTACCTGATGGTGATCCCTGATTCCTCACATTGCGCAATGCCTATTAGTCTTTGCCACCGTCCCATCATTCGTTTTTTATTTCCTCAGTGTTGTTAAGTCGCTTTTTTAAAAGGGGGAGGGGCAAGAGGTAACTTTTTACAAATTATTATATGAATTTTGTCCTTTTGTTTTGGAAATAACCATAGGGTATATATGCATATCATAAGTTTTGAGAGTTTGGAGGCCAAGGTCTCGAGGATGTCACCAAGTAACCAGCGGAATCCCAGCTGCATGAGAAACCCTGGCTCGATCTCAATTCAGGTTCTCTGGCTAGAGGAGCTCTGGCTATTCTGATTTCTCATTTCCTGGGGGTTTCAGCAGTACCTTCTGTCCTCATTGACTCTGTCCCATGTTTGAAGTGTTTGGGTGCTTAATGATGGTTAGGACAAGTGGATTATTTTCCTCTCCCTTTCTGTGTTTCCCTTTGGTGGTAGTTCTTTTTAGTCATGCTACCATATCTAGTCTAAAATTAAAGTTATGCTTATAAGAAAAGGTGGAGTAATAACAGGAAACAAATAAATGTGCCACTGCCTGGCAGGAGCTCTTTACAAAGAGAATCTCAGGAAGAACATTTCAATACCAAAGACTAGCAGGTGTGGTGGCTCACATCTGTAATCCCATTGCTTTGGGAGGTGGAGGCAAAGAGGATTGTCTGAGCTCAGAGGTTTGAGACCTGCCTGGGCAACTTGACAAGACCTTTATTTAAAATAAAGCAAAAAATTAGCCAGGTATAGTGGAGCATACCTGTGGTTCCAGCTACTTGAAAGGCTGAGATGGAAGGATTGCCTTAGCTTTGTGTGCCAAGGCTATGGTAGCCATGAGTGTGGGACTGCACTCTAGCCTAGGCATAAGAGTGAGACTCCAACTCAAAAAAACAAAACAGAACCCAAAGACTGTGTACAGAATCCACTGAATCTCTCATTCTAACTACCAAACTATGTTTCATTAACTAAATTTCAAAGCCACAAGATAAATATGACAATGTGCATTGAAGGGTTTAGGAAATTGATCACATTCCTGTGACTGGCCAATCTATTCTAGAATAGTTTACTGGCCATTCTGAGTCTTGGTGCAACTCCAGCCTAGGAGTCTTAGGAAACCTAACTCATTTAGCCCTGGGACTCATCTAATATGGCATTCTCACCAGGATGGGTTGAGGAGTCTAGTTTGTGATAATATCAGCTACTTAACTGAAACTTTAAAGGGGAGTCCAAATCAGATCAGCCTTTGAAGAGGAGGGAATATAGCCAAAGGAGTGAGAAGAGATTTATTTGACTTTGATCCCACAACTAGACACCCTAAGAATTCTACTATAAGGAGACTGCTGCTCTGAAGTTGGAAGATTACTTTGTGACAAATGTCTGGCAGCAGGTGCTTTAATCATAAGGCCTTCTCCAAGTAACCAGTGTCTTCCTACTCCTAGGTCCCTTTAGTGGTATTCAAAAGGGAAAAAGAAATTGCCAGGAAGCTGGAGTTTGATGGCCTATATATCACTGAACAGCCATCTGAAGATGACATCAAGGGGCAGTGGGACCGCTTGGTCATCAACACACCGTAAGTGTCCTTCCACTTCAACCTAAAAAGAAAATAGAGTCGTGACTGTATATGGAATAACTCTTTCTTCCCCAGCCATGGAAAATGGTTAATATAAACTTTCCTTTGATTTCTGGGGCTTTTCTCTTTTGCCTCTTCAATAAAATAGCATATTGCCTCTCAAGCACTTGTATATATCTCTTTGAATTTAATGAGTGACAGAGGATATTATCAGGAAGTGCTGAGCATATTCGATGAAGGACAGTCCAGTATAATATTGCTGAAACTGGATTTCCATGTTCAGGTCACATGGTGTTTCCAGGGCTTAAAGTGGCCCAGGGGTCTGGAGGTCAAGCTGATTAGCTTCTCCAGAGACCCCACAGCACACAATACTATGACAGACCTCCTCCCAACATAATATTGATGTGTGGCATGAGTAGGTAAGTAGAGCAAACTGGGTAGGGATGTTGAGACCTTTGGAAGCAAACCTTCCTTCCTGGTAGGTGTGTGGTACTGTGGTAGAAAGAGCACTGATTCTACAGGTAGATAGGTAGGTGAGAGACATCAAGCCAGCTCTGCAACTAAGTGGTCTATGAACTTGGGCAAGCTAATAAAACCTTCTAAGCCTCTGTTTCCTCTTCAGTAATAGAGGAATGAGAATACCACCTCCTAAAGTCCTGGGAGGATTAATGAATGTATATCCAATGCTTGGTACTTGCCTGGCACATGGTAGGCATTAAGCTGTTACTCGTCCTCTTTTCCCTAATTTTTGAAAAATGGTCATGCCATGCTCTAATGCCAGTTTATTCACAAAATAGAGTTAGAAGATAAATTGATATGGTAGAAGAAAAATAAATAAATAGAGCTCAAGATATGGGCAAATGTGACCGTTGAAACTCTTAACTGTGCCAACTAAGATATGCACATTTAGAAACAACAACCCTGACCTTTCAAAGATGACCAGGTGAACTGAGAGGCAGGTCTGTGAAGGTATAACTAAGCATGTTTTATTGCAGACACTAGAAATGGAAGGCTCTTCACTTAGGGCACAGAAAAAGGTGAGCCTGCAAATTCTAAGTCTGTCCCTGCCAATCTCCTCACACAAGGAAAAATAAGGAAAACCACTAGGTGCTGTTTTTGACCTTTTGTCATTCTGTTACAGGAGTTCAGGATACTATTAAGTAATTTAATCCTTTGGTAAGCTTTCTGCAATTATTGGTAATGTGTGTGTCTGTGTACAAGGTGATATGGTCTAAAAGTCCCAGTAAGAAGGGAGTTCAATTTCTTTTTTTTGAGTTGGAGTCTCACTCTGTCACCCAGACTGGAGTGCAGTGGCCTCTCCCAGCCACCGCAGCCTCGACCTGCTGGGCTCCGGCGAACCTTCCACCTCAGCCTTCCAAGTAGCTGGAATTACAGGCATGTGCTACCACGCCCGGCTGATTTTTTGATTTATTGTAGAGATGAGGTCTTGCTGCCCAGGTGGGTCTCGAACCCGTGGGCTCAGGCAATCCACTCACCTCAGCCTCCCAAAGGTGCGGGATTACAGGCTGAGCCACCAAGCCCGACTGGAAGTTCAATTTCGAGAAACTAATCCTAAGAAGATAATGAGACAAATACACCCAAATGTCCTGACAGAGATCTTTGCTAACATTTTTTATTTGAAGTGGCTTAGCTATCCATGAGTAGGGAAATGTATAAATAAATAGCTGTTTTAAAATTTTAGATAAACCAACCTTTCATTTTTTTTTCACAATAATGGCATCGAAGTACTTGTAGTGTTTTATAATTTGCTCTTTTTAATTAACCATATGTCTCGGAGAGCTTTCTTTTTAAAAATTTTTATTTTTATCTTAAACACACCTACACGTGAGCATATAAAATGTATATGTGCCAAAAGGTTAAAAAAGATTAAAAAATAGAACATTGCTGAGAGCTTACAAGTCTCCTGTATTTTCCTCCCTAATCACATCTTCCCAGCACCACCAAACTATGTTCCTAATATTCATTAGGGATTAGTGATATGGATTAATTAATGCTTTGCTTTTTAGTTTTCCCCCTTAGGTATTTGTCCCTAAATATGTTGCTTTGTTTGGACTATTTTGAACTTTATAGCAATGGAATTCTGCTATATACATTATACTGTCATGCATATTTTGATCAGTATGATATATGGAAACTCACCTATGTTGATATGTATAGCTAGAGTTTGTTCTTTTTCAAAGCCATAGCATTTTCCTTTATGTATATTATATATGTATCCATTTTTATGACAGTGACTGTTTCAACTGTTTTCTGTTTCTGGCTTTTATAAACAGTGCTACAATGAACATCCTTATGACTAATGCACAAGTCAAAGAATTTCTCTAGAGTATAGGTCCAGGAAAGGAATTTACTGAATAGTAGGACATGCAAAATGTTTGTTCCAATTTACATTCCAAACAGTGCTATATGGGAGTTTCCATTTCTTTATTACTTTGACAGCACTTGTTAGTATCAGACAATTTTGCTGATCTAGTAAGTGTATAATGGTGCCTTATTGTACGTTTCCCTGATTACTGCATGGGTTGACCATTTTGTATTTTTTTCCTGAACATTTATATATAGATGCATTCTTTAGTTGTGCACTTCCCTCTGAAGGTCTGTTCTCTATGGCACACTTTAAGGAATATTACCAAGTAAAATATGTTTTCTACCCTCAAGGAGCATGTGTACCTATAGACAGGGGACAAGAAATTCAGGATGCTTAGACCAAGATAAGATCATATCTATAAAAGTGTCATGCCCAGAGACTGCGGTCCTTGACCTTTCACAATCACTTGTGGAATTTTCTGCTTAGGACAAAATATGACCAAAGTTGAGCTGTATGTTACAGAATAGTTGTATAAAGAATTTAAGAGAAGCCGGGCTTGGTGGCTCAGCCTGTAATCCCGCGCCTTTGGGAGGCTGAGGTGAGTGGATTGCCTGAGCCCGCGGGTTCGAGACCCACCTTGGCGGCGAGACCTCATCTCTACAATAAAATCAAAAAATCAGCCGGGCATGGTAGCGCATGCCTGTAATTCTGGCTACTTGGAAGGCTGAGGCAGAAGGATCGCCGGAGCCCAGCAGGTCGAGTCTGCGGTGGCCGGGAGCGGCCACTGCACTCCAGTCTGGGCGACAGAGTGAGACTCCAACTCAAATAAAAAAAAAAAAAAAAATTTAAGAGAAAGGAGCTATCAGTTTGGCAGACAAAGCATGGCTTGATTTTTATTTTCTGTTCTAAATGCAATACATGATTTTCAACTCTAAATGCAATACATGGGGGCGGGGAATCAAGTTGCAGAGAAATGCATAAAGAAGATAGTAAAAATAATTGTTCCTTTTATCCCCCAGAGATAAAATCTAGTAGCAGTTTACTCTGTAACACCAGCATTTGTTTTTGCTTTTAATTGGCATTTAGATGTTTAAGACAAAGCAATTGCTTTAACAAACCAAAAACAAACAAAAAAAATCTTTTTTTTAAACTGCTACCCTGTTGGAAGAGGTGGCATTTGTTCAGGGTTATTCTTCTGAGAGGTCTGTGAATAGAGGGAGGTTCCCATTTCCTCATCACCAACTTGGGTGGTCTTTATAGAATAGGGAACTGTTGTGCTCCAGGAGCAAATAGAATGATTCAAATAGAAGAAAAAGAAAAAGAATGGATACACCAAGGGACAGAGGATAGCTGGCTGCAATCCAACTTATGAGGAACCCACCCAGGAAGAATTCAGTAATTTTAGATAGGAGAAAAGTATTGTAAGCAGTTTTTGCCAACATTCTTGAAGATGATAGTTCCTTCTTGACTTTAACAATAAGAAACTACTGCCAGGCGTGGTGGCTCCCATCTGTAATCCCAGCACTTTGGGAGGCTGAGGCAAGAGGATTGCCTGAGCCCAGGGCAATCGAGACCAGCCTGGGCAATTTGGCAAGACTTAGTCTCTACAGTAAATCAAAAAATTAGCCAGGTGTGGTGGTGCACACTTGTAGTTCCAGCTACTTGGAAGTCTGAGGTGGAAGGATTGCCTGAGCCCAGCAGGTTGAGGCTGCAAGGGCCGTGAACGTGCCACTGTACTCCAACCTGGGCAACAGAGTGAGACTCAGGCTCAAAAAAAAAAAAATAGAAGGAAAGAAAAGAAAAGAAAAGAAATTGTTTGCTGGCTGGGCATGGTGACTCACAACTTTAATTCCAGAACTTTGGGAGGCCAAGGTGGGAGGATCACTTGAGCTCAGGAGTTCAAGACCAACCTGGGCAACAGAGTGAGACCTCGCCTCTATTATTAAAAAATAAAAATAAAATTTGTCTTAAATTTTTCAAAAAGGAAACTTTGCAGCGGAGCTAGATACAAGCTACAGACAGAAGAAAGAAGACCTCTCTGGTGAGGTTAGAGATAGTATGGAACAAAAAAACCACCTACAAAGGAAAAGGGGATCTAACTCCCTGAGGAAAGCAGGCCCCAGGAGTTCTGTGGAAGAGAACTTTAGTTAAATATATAGATATAAATTAAGTAAAGGTGATTCCCAGACTGGAAACTTTATAAAGTTAGAGACCCTGTTTACACTTTCTACTACACCCTGTATCCTCAGTACCTACCTCAGTTAGTGACATAAAGTAGTGACTCGTTGAATGGAATGCACGTTTCCTATAGAATTCTGTTTCTGGTTATACTGAAATCAGGGAAAGGATTGAGAAACATACGTGTGTTTCTGTCTAGTCTGTCATCTCAGTTCCTGGCTCTTAACCATGATCTAGAGATTTTTAAAAAATGCAGAGTGGCTTTCCACGTGTTTCAGAAGTCAATACAAAGTAGTGGAACCATAAGTCAGTAGCCCTCTGATGACTCTGAACTTCAATCAAGTCTTGAATTCTTTTAGTAAGCAAGACAGAAACCAAAAAGATCACAGATCCAGACTCAAAATGGAAAACGTCTTGATGTATTTGCCTTGATGTGGAGAATTAAGAATCTCCTTTCTTTTCTTTTTCAGATCTTTTCCTAATAACTACTGGGACAAATTTGTAAAGAGAAAGGTATGCCTTGTCAGTGGGGATGAGTTCCATGATCACAAAGAAATGTAGTGTTTATATTTTTAAGTTCTCCATATGCAAACATGAATACGTGTAATGTTACTTTTACGATGGTATCTCAAGAGGAAAAAGTCAGGAAGGGGCTTTATATGAACACATGTACTTTTTGTTTCATTCCTACATATATCTGCCTTAAACAGTGTTTAACACAATCCTGGTCATTTTCTGCCCACTAGGTTTTTATCAGCTTGACAAGCAGTTGTCTTCATTGCTTTTGTTTTCTCGGGAGATTATTTTTTATGTTGCATTTTGAATCATGTCTTAATCAACCCCTTGAAAGAGCCCAGAGGGTAGTAAAGCCCTGAAGACCACAGAGCTAGGGAAGATTTGGCTGGTGGTATGTGACCGGAACTCATCCTGTCATCCTCTGCTTCAGGTGATCAACAAGTATGGAGATCTCTATGGAGCAGAGCGCATCGCTGAACTCTTGGGTTTGGACAAAAATGCCCTTGACTTTAGCCCAGTAGAAGAGACCAAAGCAGAGGCGGCTTCTCTTGTGTCATGGTACAGAGCTTAGGTGTTAAAGTCCAAAGTAGCTAAAATAGATCCTTTTCTTTTTTCCTACTCTTTTTCAGTTGCTCAATGGAAAAAAATCACAACTGTGTCTTTGTTCTCTCACACTCTGGTCTGGCTTAGGTGTTTCTTCTAGGTTCTAACATATTAGAAGAACACTGTTTAAAAATTTTGAACATCAATCCATTTTCATGCCCAACAGAGCTGAAAGAGAAAGACTAATTAAAATTTCAGGATGTGTGATTCAACTGTTCTCTGTCTCAAGTGGAACACATACAACTTGATAAAGCTCAGAGCCATATTTAGGTTATTAAACCTGAGAGAAAAACTTACTTTTTCCCCTTAATAAACACTTAACTAAACCTTGACATTTATATTTTTAAATTAAAATTATTTGTTCTTCTTTAGGCTAAGTTCCATTGACATGAAGTACCATATCTGGAAGCTGGGGGTTGTTTTTACTGACAATGTAAGTATTGCACCTGGAAAAACAAGATTCTGCACCCCAGGTCAGGGATGTCAGTAGATGCCACAGGGAAACAAGCTATGGAGGCCACCAGATAGATTCAGAGATTGCTTGTCAAGACTGGGAGGCTTATATCTGCTAGGGGTACACATCTCTTGTACAATAGTGCAAGGCAGGTGGACCTTCACTTGGTAATACTTGGGCCAACTCATAGCACCCCAGCACTGAAATCCACTCTATCCTCACTCTGTCCCCAAAGATGAGAAAAAAAACACAATGGTTTAATGAGCACATCATGAGGCATAAATGCCTACAAAGCTGCTAAATTTCTTCCATTTCCACAGTCCTTTCTCTACCTTGCCTGGTATACAACCATGTCCGTCCTGGGCCACTACAACAACTTCTTCTTTGCTGCTCACCTGTTGGATATTGCAATGGGCTTCAAGACATTGAGGACTATTCTGTCATCTGTGACTCACAACGGCAAACAGGTATTGGTTTGTATGGATCCAGAACAGATGGACCTACATATGGATAGGAAGCAAAATAGCCAACAACAGGTAGTGTACGACAGAAAGGAATGTGTCATGGTATATAATGCACCTCTCTTGGCCAACCACTTGAACCAATAGTGATGGTTTTTGCAAACTTGTAGCCAATTAAAAATATAACTGTAGCCATATAAGAGACATAAGACCTTGATTCAGAGACCCTTAACACTTAGATCAACCAGGGAAGGGAGGAAGATGATAAGGAAGATGATGGACATATCAGAATAACCTTGGAGACCTTTTTTAGGTCGACCCCTTCCTCCATGGATCTGATACATTCACTGGGGGTAGCAAGTAGATGTAATGTATGTAGATAGAAACTCCCCAAGTAACTCCCCAGGTATTTCTCATATGTGCTTCCAATGAAGAACTAATTATTGGCTGGGTGTGGTGGCTCATGCCTGTCATTCCAGTGCTTTGGGAGGCCAAGGTGAGTGGATTGCCTGAGCCCGCGGGTTCGAGACCCGCCTGGACAGCAAGACCTCATCTCTACAATAACTCAAAAAATCAGCTGGGCGTGGTAGCTCATGCCTGTAATTCTGGCCTCTTGGAAGGCTGAGGCGGGAAGATTGCCGGAGCCCGGCAGGTCGAGGCTGCAGTGGCCGGGAGCGGCCACTACACTCCAATCTGGGCGACTGAGTGAGATTCCAACTCAAAAAAAAAAACAAAAAAAAACTAGCTGGGTGTGGTGGTATACCCCCTGTAGCCCCAGCTACTCAGGAGACTGAAGTGGAAGGATTGCCTGTGCCCAAGAGTAGTTTGAGGCTGTAGTGAACCATAATCATGCCACTGTACTCCAGTCTGGGTGACAGAGTGAGACTGTGACTCAAAGAAAAAAAACTATTTAAGATATATATACTATATATAGTTATTATATACACACTATATTATATGTATGCATCCATATTATATAGTCAATATATGCATATTATATTTAATCAGCATAGCTAATTAATCAAGGGATTAAGATAATCAAGGGATTGACTCTGATATTATAGAAAAGATTGGATATTGATGAGACTGGATATGGCCATACTAAAATCCTCCAGTGGCTTCTCCTTGTCTACAGATTCTAACTGTGTGACATTTCCTCCCTCATTAAGTACAATTATATGTTTGAAACAATTATATGCCCCCTCACATCTCTAAACATGTTTGTGGGAGACAGTGAGGAAAGAAGGAAGTTAAAATGTGCCAAACTTGTGCCATGTTTCAGGTTCTGTGACAGTCTCGCAATTACCTGGTAAGGTAGATGTTCTGATCACTCTACCATAAGCGTACTGAAGCTCAAAGAAGCTGTCTCACCCAAGACCACACAGCTGCTAAGTGGCAAGCCTTTTTTTATTCCCTTGGTGCAAAGCCCAAGTCCATTTCTCTTTTTTCTAAGCTAACTGCTTTCTGTGAGGTCTGCTATCCAAGGTTTGAGTCTCTATTCCTCTCAAGAGGCCATTGAATACATCTCTTCTGGTGCTTATCTTCACACTCAAGCCTGCCACACACACCCCACCCCCCGCCACCGTTTTTGTGTAGCTCCTTAAAGGCAAAGATCTTACCTTGATGATCTTTGTATCTCTTCGTATACATCCCATCCCTGGGGATGTGTGTATATATATATGAGATATGTGTGTGTATATTTATGTATACAAATAGATATATATAATTTATATATATTATATATATAATTTATATATAATATATAATATATATAATTAATATATATTATATATAATGTATATGTGTACATTTATGTATATAAATAGATATCCCTTTACTACTCAATATATATTACATATAATGTGTGTGTATATTTATGTATATAAATAGATATCCCTTTACTACTCAATACATAAATACCTTTGTATTTTACATATGCCCAAGCCAATACCCTATGTATTCATCTGCTTGGGCTGCCATAACAAAATACCACAGACTGGTATTTTGTTAAACAACAGAGATTTATTTTCCACAGTTCTGGAGGATGTAAGTCTGGTATCAAGTTGCCGGCAGGGGTGGTCTCCTCTGAGGTCTCTCTCCTTGGCTTGCCAACAGCTACCCTCTTGCTGCTGCTTCACATGACCCTCCCTTTGTGGGTGCCTGTGCCTGGTGTCTCTCTCTATGCCTGTGCCCTAATCTCTTCTTATAAGGACACCAGTGAGATTGGATTTGAGCCCACCCTCACAGACTCATTTTAACTAAATCACCCCTTTAAAGGACTTATCTTCAAATGCAGTCACATTCTGAGTTACTGGAGGTTAGGGTTTCAGCATATGAATTTAGGGAAAGCCAATTCAGCCTATAATACCCCATTACTAATCTTTCTCCCAATTAGCCTTTTTCTCTTTATCTAGGGTCCTGTCTTTCTTCCTCTGCACACGACATGACGATCTTCATGGCCAATCCTCACCCTCACCCTTCCCTCCCCTTGCTGGGCCTCCCTGTTCCTCTTTGTTTTCTTGGAGTCTCCCATGAACCTTTCGAGGCAGAGAAGACCCCAATTCCTTTTCACCTCTCTGTCCTCTCATTCCCAGCTGGTTCTGACTGTCGGTCTCCTGGCTGTGGTGGTCTACCTCTATACTGTGGTGGCTTTCAACTTCTTCCGCAAGTTCTACAACAAAAGTGAAGATGATGATGAGCCAGATATGAAGTGTGATGACATGATGACGGTGAGAGCCCACCTGCCACAGGGCCACCCAGCCCCACCCAGCCCCACTGCCTCATGGGGACGAAGGGCTGTGTATGGGAGGTCTGGAGAACTGAGTGAGGGTCGTAGAGTTACAGAGCACAGTAGAGATCAGGGTGGAACACGGTTGTCTCATCTGAAAGTGAATGTCCTGGGAGGAAAGGAGTGCTGGAGTAGGTTTCATTACCATGTAGCTAAGCCTAGTGGGCCCTAGTGTGGGTCATCATTCATTTAAATTTGTCTGGGGTAAAAAATGAGACCTCATTGTGAGTGGACCTATAACTAAATTCCATGGGAGTCAAGGTTTGATTGTTGTCTCTGAGAACCAAGAGCAAAGCACCATGGATCAGGATCAGGTACTTGGTTTCTTTCAGCAAGCCAGTAGAGGTTTTTTTCAGAACCGCCACCACAGGCTGAAGAACATGACAGCAGCAGGATGAGGTTGGGGGATTCCTGTCAGGCTAGACCCTCGTGGGAAATTATAGGTCAAGGTGAGGCAGCACAGCTGCAGTAGGGTCTCCAGAAGTTTATATTGACTAGATTGCAGGAAAAAAGATATAGAAAAAAAAATATATGTCTCAGGGACAGATGACAGTGAACTGCCCAAGTCTGTGATCATTTCTCTGTAGAGCAGATTAAAAACTGACTAAATGCTCTTCTTATGCTTTCTTGGGCTAAGCACCCTCATGAGACAGAAATGCTAGTCACTAGAGCACCAGTGTGGTCAGTACCCGTCTTCAAGCTGCCTATGGCTTTTGCCTTTCCATTCCTGAGACTATTCTTTCCCTGTGAGTCTAGCCCATCCAGTCTGGTAGAGAGACAGCGAGTGTCCTGCTCAGCGAGCCAGTGCCCAGATGCCTGTGCTGGGTCACACACGCAGAACAGGAGGAGAGAAAAGGTCTATTATCTAAGAGGCTGCAGGAATTCCTGCCCTACAAGCTGTATGAGGAATGTAGGAGAAGTAGAGGGGGCCTTTCCCAGAGCACAGCCTGCAGCCACAGCGAACACTCTAAAAATTAAATACGGAAAAACTAGTACCTGGCATATGCCATAGTCACCAGGGCTTAAAGATATTTAAACTGATACTCTCCTTAAATGAATTCTGTTGTATCAAGTCATTCAAAATGGTTTTTTTTAAAAAAAATGGGCCAAAAATATTTTAAGAACCTAAATGTAACAACAGTCTTTCCGTCTCTGTGGACACCAAATTGACCAGAGGGTGTAGTGGAGAGCAGTGGGTGGTATGAATAATACTACTGAAGAGCTCCTCTGTCCTGGTTCAGGGTTGCCATACCCTGGTCTATTCATGTGGATGATCTGACCATCTTACTAAAACAAAACTCTGTGATTTTTACCTGAACTGCCATTATGTTTCTTCTCTAGTGTTACCTTTTCCACATGTACGTGGGAGTGAGAGCAGGAGGCGGCATTGGCGATGAAATTGAAGACCCTGCTGGTGATCCTTATGAAATATATCGCATTGTCTTCGACATTACTTTTTTCTTCTTTGTCATTGTCATATTGCTGGCCATCATCCAAGGTATGGTTGCCAATTATGTTAAGTGTGAACAGGATCTAATCTAGTGCTTTTTTGCTTTCCTGCATCTATGACTAAATTGTCCTACGAAGAAGTTTGTGAATTCATTCACTTGTTAATTTAGTAAGCATTTATTGAGCATCTACAATATATGAGGCCTTGACTATATATATAAAGCCAAATACACACCCAGGCATGGTTACAAGAAACTTGAGAATCCATATGGAGGATCTCCTTCTTCCATTCCCCTACTCTGAATTATTTCCATATCACTCTGCTTCCAAGATCTCTCCTGTGGCTTGTCTTGCCCTCATTTTCCTCCCAGGCAATGAGGGCAGAAGGAGCAGAGGAGTTATGAAAGTGTGACATGTTTTTTTCCTCTTGTTGAGGGTAGAGGGAGGTGCTGATATTTTAGTCAATAACTTGTCTGGAATCGGGAGGAAGAAAGAAGATGAATTTAGTGTGAAGGTGCTAAATTGAGGTACCTGTAAGACGTTTAAGTGTTGAAGTCTAAGAAGCAAAGAAATGGGGAGGAACCCTGACCCATATCAATGTCTGAGGGGCCAGAAGAAGAGGAAGAGCCCACCACAAAAACTGAAGACGAATGTCTAAGCAAAATAGGAGAGCAATTAGGGGGTGGTGGAGGGAAAAGGGTTCCAAGGAGAAAGTAGCTAACAGCACCGCATAGGGCAGAGAGGTGGAGTTAGGAGGAGCAACGAGGAACAGTACACACAAGTAGCTTTTCTTTATTCTAATTTTGCTTTTATTGAACAGTTTGGCTTCATAATTCGCTTTTTTGACAAAACATAGTAGCCTCTGCCATTTCTACCACACCTCTACCCTGAACCACTACAGAGTATTTAAGGTGCCTTGTCAGTCTTTGTGTTTAAAATTCCAGGTCTTATTATTGATGCTTTTGGAGAACTGAGAGACCAGCAGGAACAAGTGCGAGAAGATATGGAGGTAATGCTCTTCTAGTTCCAGCCCTATTTTTATGTCCCCATAGCAAATGGATTTTGTAAACAATAGCTTTTGCTATTACTTAGGGCTAGACCGAGGGGCAGGCTAAGGGTAAGGCCACGAGCAGTGCCTTTTGCATCCTGTCCTCTCCCCTTCTCTGTGCCATCTCCCAGCTCTGCCCACCCCCTTCCCAGGCCTGCAGCCCCTCCACTGTCCCATGATCAGAGGGAGCATCATCCTCAGCTAACCAGCGGCTAGATATGTGGCACTCTGGTATGAATGACTCATAGCCAAAAGGGATTAGAAAGTGAAATCTTTTTCAGTGCCCCTCAATTCAATAGAGACTGGGACCTTTTTTCCTCCTGCCTGTATTGTCACGCATACAAATGCCTTTTCTGCCTCTGTTATTTTTCTTAGACTAAGTGTTTCATCTGTGGGATTGGCAATGACTACTTTGACACGACCCCTCATGGTTTTGAAACACATACATTACAAGAGCACAACTTAGCCAACTACCTGTGAGTACTCTTGGTTACTAGAAATGATGGGAGTCATAGGGTAACCAAACCAATGATATCATATAGTCCAGCCTCTGCTGATGCGATTTCTTCCTTTTTCTGTGGAAAAAGAAGTGATCAGAAGAGAACTTCCGGGAGCCTGTATCCTTGTCCATGTGCTCTGCCTCTCCCACATTTCCAGAGCTGTGTGTTGGAAACTGTTCCTGCTCCTGGCAAAGGCCAGCCCCTCAACCCATGATTGCGTCTCATCCCTTCCCAAGCACACATGCCTCCAGCGGTTTGTCTTTCTCTACTAGACTTTTCCTACCACCATACTGGTGTGTTCTTTCATTCTCAAGAAAGGTCTATGGTCCCGTTTTTTATTTCTAGCTATTACCCTATTTCTTTTTCCCTTTTGGCAAAACTTGAAAACTGTCTGTGCTGTCCCCAATTTTCCTCTTCCCATTTTCCAGTGAACCTCTTCCTGGTCTTCCTCCCCACCACATCACAAGATTTGTTCTTGTCGAGGGGGCTAGGGACCCGCATGTTGCTAAATTCTGTGGAAGGTTTCCAGACCTCACTGTGTCTGCCCTTTTCCATTAAGACATAAGCCCCATGAGAACAGGATATTTTGGGATGTGTCTGTTTTCATACTGCTTTAGCCCAGCACCTGGTGCAACAATCGGCAGACAATAAATGAGTATTTCACTTCCTCTAAGGTAAAGCATTCACATAAGAACAAGTTACTTGAACCTATTTACGTGCCAGGGACAGCTTATGAAACTCATAATAGAACGTATAGAGAGTATATAGATTATATTACCCGATAATTCAGATTATATAATTGATCATTTTTTCTTTTTTTTTTTTTGAGTTGGCGTCTCACTCTGTTGCCCAGGCTGGAGTACAGTGGCACACTCATGGCCACCCCAGTGTCAACCTGCTGGGTTCCAGTGATCCTTCCGCCTCAGCCTTCCAAGTGGTTGGAACTACAGGCGCACACCATCATGACCAGCTAACTTTTTGATTTATTGTAGAGATGAGGACTCGCCAAGTTGCCTGGGCTGGTCTCAAACCCACGGGCTCAGGCGATCCACTCACCTCGGCCTCCCAAAGTGCTGGGATTACAGACTGAGCCACCGAGCCTGGCCATAACTGATCATTTTCAAGAAAAAAAAAAATCTCTATATTTGCTTAGAAAGTCCTCATCTTTCTTTAGGATGGAAAAGGCCCAAGCCCTTTGAAGAAGGTGTTATTGACAAAAAGAAGTAGCAAAGATAAATCTTTTTGCTAGAAATTTCTTAAGACAAAAACACAAACTTTTACAAAATAACTTTGGCATGCCGTTTCTCATGTCATGAGTATTTATCATCACTAATTCTCATTAAAAGCATTTATATCTTAATGGAAGAAAGCACATGACCAAGTCAGTAGCGCTGGATTACAGACCAGTGGGAGAATGGGCTAGAACCCTTTCTGCACCTTCCCAGGGCACTCTTTTCTGTCTCTATCCCCCCTCTAGTAGTGAGCCTGAGGTGAAACAACTCAGCTTATTCATGTTTGAGCTTCCCACTTAAAACAGTTCTTTGTTAAGTAAATGGGAAGATCCCAGCAAGTGTGCTAGGGAGGGAATGATGTCCTAAACTTCAGAGTCCCACATATAATAAAGACATTGACCCTACCTTTTTTCTTTATCTGTATATATAAAAAAAAAAAAAATATATATATATATATATATATATATATATATATATATATATATATATGTTTTTTTTTTACTAAAGGAGAGAAATCTAGTTTTACTAAAGGAGAGAAATCAACTAACATACATGGAGCCCCCTACTCTGAGCCAGGACCTGAAGCTATAGATGCAGTACCACCCTGAAAGAACTCAAGATCTGGGGCTTAGGCTCTCCTTACTCTCAGAAGGGTGTTATTTCTACTTTCTCTTCCTTACCACCAGCTTCACAATCCTCTTCCTGAAGGGCATGAGACCGGTTCCCTTAGAAACTGTCTCTGAGGTCATGTAATGTGAACTGAGAGTTCAGCCCTGTCTCTCCCGGGATACTTATGTGTCACAGACAAACTCAAACCTGAGACATATCACAGAGCAGGTGAAACTATACTACCATTTCCCAGCTATCTAGGAGAAAAACAAAATAATTCTTCTAGAAGAATCAGAGCGACTCAGTGAGGTTACTTTCTTTTTCATGACAGATATTCTTGAGACACATATAATTTCAATTATACATTTTTATGAGAGGATAAATTGGCAAGAGTTTGGGCTACCATTTTATTGTTTAGCTTAGGACTTTCTGAACAATGAAATGGTGACCAAAACACTACTTTGCAAGTGACCTTAGCTCAAGGTTTAAGGATGGTAAAAAGGATTTCTCATCACAAAGACATTAATTTTGCCTAGCTAGGTGGCTCAGCCTGTAATCCCAGCACTTTGGGAGGCCGAGGCGAGTGGATTGCCTGAGCCTGCAGGTTTGAGACCCACCCAGGCAACTTGGCGAGACCTCATCTCTACAATAAATAAATATAAAATTAGCTGGGCATGGTAGCGTGTGCCTGCAATTCCAGTTACTTGGAAGACTGAGGCGGAAGGATCGCCTGAGCTCAACAGGTTGAGACTGCGGTGGCCGCGAGCGTGCCATTGCACTCCAGTCTGGGTGAAGAGTGAGACTCCAACTAAAACAAAAAAAAAAAGACACTAATTTTGAGATTTATGTTTGTTCTCATTAGAAAATGAGTGTGTGTATCCTTATGCCACACTCCCCTGATTTTGAAAGGCAACGTAGATCGCATGATGCCAAACAACATTTTTTAACCCAATTAAACTTAGCAAACCCAAGTAAACTTAGGTTTCTTGACCAAAGTATCTGATACTTTTTCTCATTATCTTTTTTTCTTGTTCCAGGTTCTTTTTGATGTATTTGATTAATAAAGATGAAACAGAGCACACGGGTCAGGTGAGAAATAAAATACCTTTAATTAGGAATCATACACCTGTGTTAGATTACCCCTTTCGAGTCTTGAGACCTAGTGAGGTACAAACTCTCTAGAATAGGTAGATGGTCCCATGAGTCTCTTGAATGCGTTTTCCCATCATCTCTCTGTGGCTTAATAACAAGCCAGAATTCTATGGTGACCTCAGCCTAGTCCAGAAGTCCTCCTGGTTATCCTTCCCAGCAACCACTGATGTTTTCTAAACGCTTATGGTTACTGCTTCTGACTAGAATAGCTGGAGGCGGGGAGAACATTATGGAGAAAAAGACAATGAGAATCAGAGTGGGTGGCTATAACAGAGAGCAGGAAACTCGAGTAAAGCAGAAGGAGAGACAGCCTAAGAAAGAGAATGACCTCGTGAGTGGGTGACAATGAGAACATGGAGGTGTGCATGTAAGGTTATGAGTGAAAGATGTGTCAAGGGACTTCATGACTAAGTGTGAAAAAGAATGGAGAGGTAGAAAACAAGGGAGGAAAAAAGTCGGCTATCAAACATTGAAACATCACTGAGAGATCACTGAGTTGTAAAGTTGCCCTACAAAGCCAGACGCTCAAATGGAGAGGCAGTTGGTTCCCAGATCTGGCTCTAGCTTTTCAGGCATCTCACCGTGCATTCTTCTGTCTCCCATCAAGTACAAGTGGCATGGAATCAGCCTATTGCTGAATCTTTTAAGTATTTTTAGTGGCAAACATTAAGTTGGTTTCAGTTTTGTTTTGGCAGGAGAGGGGCTTTTTTTCCTCCCCTGCCAGCACTGTCAGGGAGACTTGGCTTCTTGCTCCCAAAACAGCCTGGGCTTGAGATTGAGCAACAAAGACATGCTGGTTCAGCCTCATATCACTTCACATCAGTCTTCCTAAAAGGAGCCATGGAGAGGATAGACAAACCGGGGTTAACTTACCATGGTTTAAAAATAAGTACCCTTTGTTCACATTATTTCAGGAATCTTATGTTTGGAAGATGTACCAAGAGAGGTGTTGGGATTTCTTCCCAGCTGGCGACTGCTTTCGTAAACAATATGAAGATCAGCTTGGTTAGATCTGAATGAATGAAGTGCCACAATTCTGGACAATCAACTTTCAGTGGAATAAAGTCCTTTTACAGTTCTGTGACATATTTGAAATGTGACATTTTCTAAATGCCTCCCTTACAAGAAAATGTTTGTTAAAAATCTGTGCTATTTTGAAATTGATTTGGCTATTCGTGCCTAAACATACGTGTCCTGATGTTTTAAAAGGAAAGAAAAATAGCAAAGAATCAAGTATCTCTATTTGAATGCTTTCAAATATTTCAGTTCTAATGTAACTAATTTGTTACATTTGAGGAAAGAACTAGAGAAGTATGAAGTCTTGAATGCATAATATCTGAAATTTTTAACACTTGAATGTCATATGACAGGATCCAACCAGTGACTCATGGTCTGAACTACAAAAAATCATTTTAACTGCTGTCTAATTTGTCCCATGGTACTTGCTGGTGACTTGCTAGTGACTGTATCCAGAATCAGCTTGAAAAGCTTTAAGCAGTTAAAGAAAAAAACAAACCAACACTTTGTCGACACTGAAATATCGATTAAGTGCCTTAAAACTTCTTTAGATATAGCTATGCAAGTTTTTTATGTTTGTGTTACAGGACGACAGTTCCATTAATTAGTTGTGATCTTCTGTTTTAACCTTATGAAACTGCACTTGAAGGTTATTCACTTTTTTTTTTTTTTTTTGATAACAGCTTATCAACTGCTGTTATTAGAAGAAAAGTACTGTACTGGAAATTCGGAAAAATCTTAATCTTATGCCAAAACTGAGTAATGCTTTATGGTCCCTTGTTAAGTAGTGGAGCTGCTATGTTTAGGTGAATCTCCTCAAATAAAATGAAGTGCCCACTGCAATAAAGTAGTACGTACCAATCCATGGTTTGGCTTCTTGAAATCTACAACCACTCTGTGACTGCTGACTTCTTGAAATGCACCACTTTGGTTGATTCTACAACCACTCTGCTGAGGAAAGAGACATGAGACAAACAGCCCAAGGCCCCACACAAGAAAGAAAAAACTCTCTAGACCAGCATTTGTTTATTTTGGCCATATGCATGCCTTGTTATTTGCATCTAGTCTCTTAATCAGTAGCAGCATCTGCTATGCTGTGAACACTGCAGAAAGGGAGGCAGGAAACAAAGGCCATAACATCCCCTGCCCTTAAGGAACTTTATTAGATGACTAAGCTGGAAAAACAAATGCAACAAGCTTCTTCAGCATATTATTTCAGATGTTGTCAAATATAGAGGTAGGCATTTACTGCTGAAAGCATTATGGAACACACTGCCTTGGGGCACACTTGTAAACTAGCTGTTCCTGAAGGACAGCCTTATGCCCTCCCTTGCTTAGAAGGCAACCAAAATTTGCTTCAGGCACTTTTTGTCTCTCTCTCTTTTTTTTTTTAGGAAATCATGCTGTCCAACCAGTCTTCCAGCTCTTCCTCAGTGACATTTTTTGATGTGCTTGGTTGCTCAGGTTCCATGTTCTTTTCTTCAGTCACAGATGGTTTTGCAGAAACTGGGGAAATAAAAGCAATGTTATCACACTTGAGGGTTAAGGCTTCCCTTGCGTTTGTTCCAGAATATAATTTAGTACTAATTATTACTTCTCTTGAAACAAGGGGAAACATTCTTATTATTGTTACTCCTAAGATGATACCAGGAATAGCTAAGCAAATTAATACACGGAAGGTAGAGATTTACTCTTCTACTTATTCTGAAGTTGAATTTCACAATTTGCTGATTTTTTTTGTTAAAGACCAACAGCTCAGTTTTCTTTTTACTGTTGTAGTAATCCTGGAAAATCATTAAAGGTTCTCAAATCCAATATATGAATGTGGCAATCGCCTTGGGCCTCCCCACAGCAGACGGGCCACCATCCCATAGGACACACACAAATTAAAAAGTGTTGTTCTTTTGTAAAAAATTGACTGAAATAGCAAGAAAGAAGAAGAGCTGGACTGTCAGTCGATTAAAAGATCTTCTGCTGAAAGGCTGAGGGCTACAGGTATCCTAATGCCTTACGATGACAGAAGTTCAATTCGCCACCCCAGGTTTGTGCTGCAATCAGGCAGCAGCTTTGGAAGCTCAGTATATTGAGATGAGTGCTGTCAGAAAGGTCAGCTCAGGGGGAAGCAGAGATGTGAGTACAGAAATAGATGTCAGTGGACAACACTGAATCAATGTCAGACACTGAGAGGGATGTATATGGATGTGATGCGGGTGGGGCTGCTCTTATAAAAATGCCAGAATCAGGAAGATGGATGGAAAATAAATGAAAGCCATACCTTTCTCCTCTTGGGCCACCTTCCCATCTTGCTCAGATTTCCGGTCCTGGTCTGGTAAGATGTTATCTCCCTCTTTTACAGGTGCATCTAAATTAAGCAACAGATCTAGTTCTTCCTCCAAATGGTCTGCTGCTGACTGCAGTGGGGCAGCAGGTTTCTGAGAACCTCCTGAAGAACCCAGTCCTGGGCTGTCTTTACCCAGGGTCACAGGGCAGCCAGCAGTGATGGATTTCAGCTCAGAGATGGGCCCCCTTCCTCCAGGCCCCAAGGGCCCCTTTAACTGCATCCCTGATCCCTTGCTGTCATCAGTTCTCTTTGGTTTTGTCTGAGGAAGCTCTGAAGGAACTGTGGTCTGAAAGAGAAGTACAATAATTGAGTTTAAAAAGTTAGTCTTGCCACATTTGCTTGTGTAGAAACAAAACACAGGAGGCTAAAGAGGCCATCAAACTTTGTGGGGTAGGAAACTCAGAGAGTTAGTTCACAAAATATCTCTGGTTTGGGCCCTGGTTCAGTACCCTTCCTGACTGATTTGGGTAAATGTGGGAGATCTTGATGGTACCTCCTATTCTTCCCACCTCAGCCATGTGCTAGCCAGTTCAGAATTGAAATTAAAGGGTGCATGTCTTCCTAGCACAGGCCTGAAAACTGATAGTACCATAGGTCTACTTGAATTTACATGTAAATCTGTAATAAGACATGAGCATCTGTAAAAGCCACCAAGAAGTAATCAACAGATCTCTTTGTTGTATTTAAACGCACTAATATTTAGGTACAGGAACAAATTCACCAAGAAAAGAATTGACCCTCAGCAACATTAAATAAAAACATGCCAGACATGAAAGAAAATATACTATTCAATTATACTTGTAATATGTTCAAAACCAGGCAAAACTATAGTATTAGAAGTCAGGATACTGGTTACCTTTTGGGGAGACAGTTACTCAGGGAGTATGACTGGTGGCTTCTGGAGTATTGGCAATATTCTCAGTCCTGATCTGGATGCTGATTCCATGTTATAAATACTTATGTGTGCCCATTTTTATAACTGTTAACTTGTATAAAAATTTAAAAACTCCCCAGATGATTGTAATATAAGGTTAGACTCTAAGGCCAAGGATCACTGCTTTTGAGGAAAGGTTCCAAAGACTAGCATGGTCTCATAGTGGGCAGGTTCAGAATGAGCTTCAACATCTACTGCGGGTCCTGGCCCCTTATTGTTCCATAAATAAGTATCTTGAACAGACATGACAGTATGGATTCAGTCACAAGCTGAAATAAATGTCCAGTACTGTCGGTTTTACAAGCAAAGCTGGTCTCCTGTGGTCCTTTTTCCAATTCTAGTCATTTAGTTGGTCTGGAGTAGATGTCTGACCTTGTTTTTGTTTAACTTCCCAGGTGATTCTCATGTGCAAAGGAGAGAATAACTGCTCAACAGCATGGCGAAGGTGGGGTAGATTTTCTGATGTAGTCAGGTTTTCAAAGTCACTGCAGTTACTTTTTACCTCTACTCTAATGTCTGCCACTGGCATGATACCTTCACTTTCAATGCATGTAACCACTTCCCCCCTTTCCTGTCATTTTTATCTCACCATTTCCCTGGTGTGTTCTGCTAAACATTCCTCATTGTGTGGGATCAAACCAAGCACTTCAGAACTTTGAACATCAATGGACACCCAGCAGGAAAAGCCTGCGGCATTCTCCCAAATGCTCCCACACGTTTCTGAAGAACCTCCCAGGTGATCTCCCATCAGAGGCAAATGTGATCCTTTCTAGTTCTCTGTCTTGTCCCTAACTGTCCTCCAGCCCCGAACTCTGCTGTCTGCTGCCCCCAAATTTAGACTATTAAGTGCACTGGAAACAGCAACTGGGTGGGTAACCAATTTATCACTATGCTCAAGCTTAGCATGACATTCAGCCACAGAAGGATGCTGATAATTTTTGTTGCTAGGATTCTATTTAAAATCAGTGCTGCCAGGGTTTCACTTTTTTTTTTAAACTTGATCATGCCACAATTAAATTTTGAAGTTCCTCATGGTATAGTCCTTGGGTCTCTGCTCTCTTAGTCAGTTTATCAATTGCCACCTCATCCTGGTATCTTCTAAATTTATATCTCTTGCCCTTAATTCTGAACTATAAATTTCTACTTCCAATTGATCAATATTTCCACTTGAATATCTCAGAGACACAAACTCATGATGTCCAAACCTTGCCCTTCTTGATGTTTTCTACCACTGAGTTGCACAAGCTGGAAAACTTTGAATTCTTCCTTGACTGCTCTTTTTCATTTATAACACATCCCCAAATCCTGTTAATTTTACCTCTGAAATAACTCTTGGTAAAGTCTACTTCTCTGCCACCTTCACCATCACAGCCCTGGTCCAAGCTACAGTATTCCTCACCTTGACTGAACAGATAGCCTCCTCCTGTGCCTCGTCCACCTGCTCTGCTCATGTGTGTGCACATGCAGACTTACCTGCAAACACACATACTCCAGCCCCACAACCTGCTCTCCATTCTGCAGCCAGAACATCATCATCGTTTTTTTCAATGCAGATCTGCTGGGGGTCCCTCTCCTTTAAATTCTAGCGCAAATGTTCTTATACTTTAGATCTCAGCTTACCTGTCACTTCTTCGGGAAAGCCATTCCTAACCACAACACAGTAGAACTTGATCTACTCGTGTAAGACTTACTATAATTTGTATGACTATTTGATTAATTCGATTAACATCCATATTTCCCAATGCATTAAGCTCTAGGAAGGCAGAACCAAGTCTGTCTGTTTACCGTGTCCCTAGTGCCTAACACAGAGTATGACACATAAATATTTTTAGCAAAATAATAGCCAGACTTTATATTTTACGTTTGATTCAATTCTATTACACTTGATCCTTTTAAATGTTTCAAATATAAAATGAAAAGAGTAACTTTAAATTTTTTTTGCACTTTCCTTTAAACTTTACAAAACTCTGCCTTGATACAAAACCCTCAGCTTTATGAAAGGAAAAGCTGAGACTGAGACAGGAGGTTTTTCTCTCTTTTTTCTTCTCCTGCCCCAGCCCACCAGCCTTCGGGGTTTTTACCTGAACCAGCTCAGCAGCAACATTGAGTCGGAGTGAGAGTGGCAGCTCTTGAAGTGCTCGAACCAATGACTCACAATTGACGTAAAGAGCTGAATTCTATAGACATATTTAAACAAAGAAAGAAAATATCAGGTGATGATTAAGTATGACCTTTTGGAAATAAAGCAGAAGAGGAAAAAAAGAAACTAAATAAATCATTCCCTGGAGTTATTTTTGACAGGGAGTAAGTAAGATTATAATCACACTTGATGAGCTATAGTTTCTATCACCTCAACATTAAGATCAGCAAAACCAAAACTACTGTCTTGAGCCCACACTGCCATGATCACCCTCCTGGCAAAACTGCCCAGTAACCTGTAAACTGTGGAGGCTTTTGCAATGACTGACAAGCTGAAAGAAAAATAAGCAGCTAATGAAATCTAACTGGATATCTCCCCTAAATTCAGACAGCTGGCCTTATGGAAAAGAGGGAAGAGCTGTTCAGCCAGTAAGATGGGGCTGACAGGTGTTGCAAAAGAGCCAGTAATGTATGCTTCTCTTTGAACCAGAAAACAGAGAATGGAAGCTTAGCCTCCCTGGCCAGCAGCATACTGTGCCAGGCAATACTAACAGGTTTCTCTGACTCCTTTCCCATTCACAAAGGTAAAGTCATGTCAACACACTGACTTCACAAATTGGCACTTAAGTGAGAAGATATTCCAAATAATCTCAAGGTTCCTAATAGGTGCTTCTAGGAGTTCTGGCCAATCCAAGAGAAGCAAAACACTAAAAGGCAATCACAAGGACCACACACAGACAGGCAAACACCACTGACCACCTAATCTACCAAAGACTGTCACGGGCCCACGTAGGACCACATCTTGCCTTATAATCACTGATTCAAGTTAAAGAAAATCAAATGGTTACCTAGTTTAATCTCTACCCTAATGCAGGAATGTCTCAGATAAATGAATTTATAATCACCAGAGATGGAGACACATTCTCGGTAAACTTAAGTGGAGCCCTGTCACTAAATCCAGACCCACTCTAACCACTAATCTACACAACAGCAGTACTGAAAAAAATAACTTGGGTTTTTAGCCACCCTTCTGAAATTGTCCTGAGATGGCTATCTCTTAGATAAGCAACATTTGGCAGCACCAAATGTGACTCTTGCCCTGGAAGAGGGCAAAAAAAGGAAGTTTCATCTAAAAAAATGCAGTGTATTTGGAGAACAGGATGGAGGATAACAAAACCCTGATAGGAACGTGGGAATTCAGAATGTGTTCAGGCCATTCTTTAGTCTTAGATACAGTACACTAAGTGATCAAGCAGTATGGCCATGTCTTTGTTCTCAAGTTTGGAGAAACCCTCTCAGCCCACTAGAAAGTTGTGATCCCGAATGCTTAACCTATAGAAAAGTCACCACATGACATGGTGGAAATCTCATCCTTCCCATGGCCAAATGTTTGGCTAGCCACACCATGGGAATTTTCTTCTCTTGGTTTATAAATAGGTAGAACATGATTCTGTGTGATTCTGTGATTGTGGCCACCAGTCCCAGGCCCTCTCTTGGCTCTCTGGAGGACTGCTGAGTTGGGTTAGGTCTGGCTGAAAGTGACCCAATCCCCTCTGCCCTCATTCACATCATGTGCTACACAACTACAAGGTATGTCATAAACAAGAAAAAGTCTGTGAGGCTAAGCAAAGATACAGAGAATGGCCTGACTGTGTTTATGAGCCATGCTCTGAATAAAGTTTAGCTGTGTCTATACTGAAATGTCTTCTCCCACATTTCTCATCCCCACCCATCACCCAGTGCCCAGCCAACAGTGCAAGACCTCCATCATGCCTTTGCAAAACTTCAAAGCACAGTGGTTTGTTCTCATCTCCTTGCAGGAGTCCTGCAGCTGAGAGCCTCCCAACAAATGCCACTTTGTGAGGAGACTTGCTTTTTTCTGTCACCAGTTTGTCCCATAAAGAGCTAAAGCTAAAGGCCTTAGATACAAAGTTAGGCAAAGTGAATCACTTATAATACTAGAGTGTGAATTTTAAAAATAGGTTTAATTGGAATAACAGTCATGAATCAGTTTTCTACATGTTGTTCCTTCAAACGGAATCTAGCAGAATCATACTCATCTACTAAGATGCACTCAAATGATCATTTCCTCACAGCACTTAATCACTTCCAGCCCAAAGTAGCTGTCTCCCACATTATCTCAATTCATTTATCATGCCACCTACTTTATGTTGCGCTCTTTTTCATTTATTATGTAAATATCTATTGCGCATCTACTGCACTATATATCAGTCACTGTCTTCAGGTAAGGGGCCTAGAGCAATAAACAGGCATGGTCTCTGTTTCACTCATATTGAATAAGTTCCATCTAATAAAATATCTAGTGAATAACAAGTGCCCCATGTTTTGATGAATGAAAACGTTTGGAATTATTTGAAACTCTCAATACATGTGAAATAGCCTCTGATAGCCAACAGGACGCAAAAAAAATTGAAATGAGAATTGTTTGGCTTTTACCATTTTCCTCAACGATCGCAGTTTGTGTTTTCAACTTGTCCGAGAGTTCTAAATGGTACCTTGGGCATATGCCCAAACTCAAGCAAAGACAAGTATGTTTTATTCCCACCTTTTTCTAGATTATATAAAACATACTCTTTGCAACATGACAGGCAGTCATTTTACAAGAGACTCCCCGCCCCATGATCTGTGTGAGTCAATGTCCATCCCAAACAACTGAGCATAAAACCAGCCCAGAGATCAAACGAGTCACCTAGAGCATGTAGGTTGATCTGGGGGCAGGACAGGGATGAGAGTGCCTGGCCTCTGAGCTTGCGAGCTGCTGTCTCAGCCACCTCTCTGAAGCTGTGGGCAGATTGTTTAATGGTTTTATCACATTGTACACTCTAGCCCTGGAGTTGGGAAGCATGCGGAAGCCACCACTAACTCTCTGAGCATCCTAAAATGGTGAGAATATCTATCAACTCTTATATAGACTGAATCATGAAATACTGCTTGGAAAATAATCGGAACTCCTGGGGACGAAAATACAGCATCATGAACACAAAGCAAATGAGGCGTTTGGGGTTTATGAATTTCCTGAAAGACTTCTGTAATATTTGTCCTTCCTCATCTCTATAATAAATCACAAAAATTAGCCAGGTGTGATAGCGTGCACCTATAGTTCCGGCTACTTGGCAGGCTGAGGCAGAAGGCTCACCGGAGCCCAGCAGGTCAATGCTGGAGTGACCATGAGTGTGCCACGGCACTCCAGCCTGGGCAACATAGTGATACTCCAACTCAAATATATATCCTTCAGTTTGTCCTTATTTTATGCCTTTATTCTCCTAATTGTAGAAGAATTACTTAAAACTATAAGGTTAAGGGTTTTCTTTCCTAATACCAAAAAAATTAATTTCTAACTTTAAAGGGAGTGGCAAAGAAGGAAGGCCACTTTGTCAAAACCATGATTACCAAGTTTCTACCCTGTGGCCCAGTGACTTACACAGATAAGTGACTCACACAGATGGCTAGGTAGAGAGTTTGAAGGTCCTGTATGATTTTAGTCGCCTGAAAATTTCCTCAAATTCAGGTAACTGAGAACAAGATGCATGTGAGTTACCGTTCTTTGCTACATGAAGACTGTCTCAACAATAATGTGAAAGGTGTCAGCCCTGAGAAGAGCCAGTCCACATTCAAGACAAACTTTTATTTTACCTGTTTTGGACAAGAAGCTTCACCATCCCATTCTTTCTCCTCAGCAAACCGGAACTGTGAGAAGGAGTCCCCTAGGAATAAAAAACAAAAACAAAAACACCTTTTTTAAAAAACATATAAGCTGAAAGAAAACAGTTCTCTAAATTTCCCTTCTGGAGCAAAAGTGCCATTTCTGAAGAGTTAAACTCAGTGACATATTGCAAGGTCTGACTCCACACCTTTACAAGAGATCTTTGCATGGTGGGCACTCAAAGATGTTGTTGGCAGTGCATTCATTGTTTCATGCAATTCTCAGTACGCCACCATCCTACATGCTTCTTGAGGGACAACTAAACAGCTTAGGTCTGCAGACATGGCCACCTACCTATATTTGGCATATTTTTATCTCATCTGCTTAATGTGTACCAGAAAATTTGTATTTACGATCTTGGTAGCAGGAAAGGCAGAAAAGGAAGGGGAAGAATGGAACTGAAGGAAAAGAATTCTAGACTGATCCATAACATAACAGACTTAAACTATATCTCTTTCAGAAAAGGCTACCAACCTCTACTGTCAACTCTAAAAATCACCTGGTCAGAATATCAGATGCAAAATAAAGCTCAAAAAATGTACACTAGATTATAATGCAAATCCTGGTACATTGCTCTGAGCTCTTGAAATAAATATGAATAAGTGAGATCAACATAAACAGGTATCAAAGATGATCCTAAGCAGAAAGCTGTCACAAGGCTTACTTTGTAAACATGTACATATTACCTAGCTTTCTGGATCCCCTAAAGCTTGACTCCACTTCATCAATCCACATTTACTTTCTATTTCTTCAGACTTCCTCTTTTCACATTCCACAGTCTCTTTTCACATTCCACACATACTTCATACTCCATCCCATCTCCATTCCTTTTTTTATCCTTTCCCTTGTCTGGAAGACCCACATGCCTCTACCCATGGTTTGAATATGTGTCCTCTCCAAAATTCAGGTTGAAATTTAATCTCCAGTTAAATAACAACAAAAATGCCATAATATTCTATTTTGAAGATAAGGAAACCAAAATAGCAGGCTTACTAAACCAATGATTGCTTATTCACTGGAATCTGCTTTAAAAGGTAGGGCAAAGGAGGTAGCAAAACTGATGAACATTGAATGTTCACATTTTTCTTACATGATAAAAACTTCATATTCTATTCCAGCAACAATTCTAAAGTTGGTATGTATGCACTAAAAGCTGAGATACAGAAGATACTGAGACAATTTTGTTGTATTTTGCAAGTCAGCTACACTGCTCTAGTGCTGTATTTCTAACCTCAAAATTAATGAGGTTTTTAACAAATAATTGTGTGAAGGAGCAAAAATATTAGAAAACTAAAAATCAAAAAATATAGGAGACAGCATCAATCTAAAGTCTGCTTCTGAAAATATCCAAAAAGAAGGTTTCATGCAGTGCATAATGTTTCAAGCTCTGGGATTGGGCCAGCGAAACTCATGACCATCAAACAAATCTCCAAGGGTTGAGGTTAATGAGGAGAAGGAGTCTTTACACAGTCAATTACTATTTGAAAACACAACAAGCTTGACTGCTGAGGAACAACATTACCATGACCAGGGCTCTATTCTAGCAGAGTTAGCCAAAAAGGTCTTGCTCCTCCACTCGCCTTGGCTAAAAGCTAGTATCTATTTAGTATTGAATTGTGTAGTATAGAGTAAAGTGGCGACAGGAGCAATTTAACTGCTGATGGTGGTATAAAATCAGCATGCCTATTTACTGTCTAATTCTAACCATGAAATACTTTTAAATAAAATTTTAATACGTTTTTTGAAATTTCAGATTGTTTTCTTGTGTCCCAAAAGTCTTTTACAACAGTTATATTTAGCTTTAACTTCAGTCAAATATGATTTAACATTTTATCATTTGCCCAAAATGTGTTTTGGTGAGCCACAATATACTAATTTGTGCACAAAAATGAGTGAAGACAACTATATCTATTTTTAAATGATTATCTCTCAGAGCATGGAACTGAAGGAGATTTTTCCCTTCTGCATAATACAGATTCCAGTTGAATCTTCCTTTGTAAACAATAAGCACCTGTTACTTTTAGAACTGAGCCAAACAGAATAAAGGAAATCTAGAAAAAAGCTGATTTTTTTTTTTTTTTTTTTGAGTTGGGGTCTCACTTTGTCGCCCAGACTGGAGTGCAGTGGCATGCTCACAGCTACTGCAGCCTCGACCTGCTGGACTCCAGTGATCCTTTGGCTTCAGCCTTCTAAAAAGCCGGAACTACAGGCACACGCTACCACGCCTGGCTAATTTTTTGATTTATTGTAGAGACAAGGTCTCACCAAGTTGCCCAGGTGGGTCTCGAACCCATGGGCTCAGGCAATCCTCTCGCCTTGGCCTCTCAAAGTGCTGGGATTACAGGCTGAGCCACCAGGCCTGGCCAAGCTGAATTTTCTTAAGGGAAAGGACCTTCTCAGGATGCATTTAAGACAAATACTTAAAGACCTCAAAAGTCAGAACCACAGACTCATTCTAATCCTCACTTTATAAAATTATGAAGAACCTTACTTAGCTCTAGAGAGGGTCATTCAATGGTCTGACCAAGACCACACAGTCAGTTGATGGCTGGACACCAAGACCTCTTGGTTCATAGCATTTATTATTTTATTTTATTTTGCTTCTCCAAAGACAACCTGACAAGCATTTTTTTTTTTTTTTTTGAAGAGAGAAGGGAGTCTCGCTATATTGTCCAGGCTGGCCTCAAATTTGTAGGCTCAAGTGATCCTCCTGTCTCAGCCTCCCAAGTAGCTAGTACTACAGATGTGTGCCACACATTTCACTAGCATTGATTATTTTACTAATTTGTTAGTATAATAATTACTTAAACCTAGTCCCACTACTTCTACTAGGATTCTTGGCTCTCTGAGTTCCCCAGAACAAAAACAAATGTTCAATAAATATTTTATGATATTAGTATACTAATATTTGATATGTTGACAATGTTTGAAGATATGAAAATTCAAAGAAAGAAGTGAAGAGTTCCTCATTTTAGGAAATCACTTCAGAAGTTTTCTTAACTTATGCCCTTAGCACTTTAAGAAAAAAGAGTCTTTCTAATAGAGCTCTAAGTATTCTAATAATGATAGTACTGGTGAAATAAAGGTGACACACCAACCCCATCACTGTATTTATAATATCCAGGATTCTCACTCCACCTAACTTCTCAAATTGGTCTCATACATGTGTTTCAGTCAAAGGCAAGGTGGACACTAAACTTCCTAGAAATCCTTTGTACCAATATGCATTTTATTTATTTTTTAAACTATATTTTATCTTAAAGATGTAGGGTACAATTCAGGATTAGGTATATAAGTAGGCATCGTACAGGTAAAGTTTGGGCCTCCCTTTGTCCACTTTGCCTGGTTTGAGATCAGGTACCCTTATTGATGTTGTGCCCTACCCTAATATGCATTTTAAAAGCTTATCATCTAGCTGGACACAATGGCTCATGCCCTGTAATCCCAGCACTTTGGGAGGTTGAGGTGAGAGAACGGCTTAAGTCCAGGTGTTCGAGACCAATCTGGGCAACTTGGTGAAACCTCAATAAATCCATAAATAAAAAAATTAGCTGTGTTTGGTGGCACATGCCTTTGGTTCCAGCTACTTGGAAGACTGAGATGGAAGGATTGCCTGAGCCTAGCAGGTCAAGACTGCGGTGGTCATGACCATGCCCTGCACTCCAGCCGCCCTGCACTCCAGCCTGGGTGACAGAGTAACACTCCGACTTAAAAAAACAAAAACAAAACACTTACCATCTAGTCATTGATAATACAGCTTTCAGTTTTAAGCACCAATCAAAAGTCCTTAACATAACCATAAAGCTCTCCATTGAGAGTTCAGGTAGAATTGAAAGGAAAAGTCCCTGGGCAGAAAGAAACCTGTAAAGACTTTCAGAATGGACAATACAGACCCAAATGTACATAAAGAATGAATGTGAACGATGGGAAATCTGCCCAAGCCTAATAGCCAGTACTGAAAATTTGGTGGTGGAAATTTCCATAATTGACACTTGTCCTGTCTATTTGGAATTTTTAATCATAAAATTGACACAGATCTTTGTGGTGTCTCCTTTAGGAAACTAACTCCAGAAAGCTGAGTAATGTATCACTAATTCTGGATGAGTACTTCATTTTAAGCTCCATTTTTCTGGCTCTCCTTTATCATGATTACCTTCCTTTATTTACCCTGTAGAACATGCTCAACCAGGACACCAAGTCTCTGAGAAATCACAAACCAACTTTGTAGGCTGACAAGATCACAATTTTCAGAGAGAGAATAGGTCCCAACAGTCACCACTATGACTGCTATAGAAAATAAAATGCCCCTTTTCATTTCTCTGAATTCTCTATCCTCATCTTTGAGAGATGGCACATTTGGAAGATCAAGGTAAATGCTAAGTTCACAGGCTGACATAGATCAATCCAGGGAAAATACACAGCTCAGCCAACAGGACATAAAACATTCTCACCATTCCCAATTTCCAGCTTTAATGGTGAGCCTTTATAGATGCAGATGTCCTTTACTTCAGTATTTGCTCTAAAACCAGCAACAGTTAACACCCTTTGTGAGGGAGACTACACAAGACACTAAAGCAATTATTTAAAAAGTTAGGATGAGCTAAAAGAACAGAGAGGTATTAAAAGTTTCTCCTCCTACTCAGCAATGACTTATAATTAGCTTTATCTTACCAGGTGTGGGGCCCAAAAAGCCCCTGAGCATCAAATATCCACATTGAGCAGGACATAATAGGATGTGCCTGTCTTTCCAATGCCCCTAAGAAGCTGCTTCCTCATCTGCATGGATTATGTTAAGGGAAAAACTAAACATACTGAAGTACTTACTATCAAAGGGTTCTAAGCTTTATGAGAAAAGAACGACACTGACATTCTGGAATTTCGAATCTCTTTTCCCTAAAATAGTTGGTGAATATTGTGTTAACTCTGTATCAGGGCAGGTAACCTAGTAAAAGTTATCAGATCACTCATTCTGGAACAAAGTGAACATCAAACCCTGGCACAGAACTCCAAGATGAGAGTAAATGATTCGACAAGGTTGAATAAATAAGAGGATATAAAGATCAATCTTCTGATGGACAATGATGTCATAAGATCTTAGATCTGATCTGTAGTAACAGATCTAGGTATCAGGAAGAGGTTTGCCTGTATGTAACAAAGACCTCGAAAATCATGGCTTCGACAAGATAAAAAGATTCTATCCTCTGTCAATGAAATAAAGATCTGACTTGGCATCAAAGGCTGGTCCGGTGGCCCTGGCTCTTTCCATTGCCCTGTCATGCCTGGGAAGGCCCTTCTTGTCACAATCCAATATGAGAACCAGAGCTCCTGCTACCCCAAGAAAATTCCAGACAGCAAGAAGGAAAAAAAAAGAGCTGAATAAAGTAGGACAAAAGGCATGAATTCTCTGCCTGTTGAAGTTTCTCAGAAACTACAATAAACCATTTCCACTTATTTCTCTTTTGGCCAAAACTATATCACATAGTTTTATCAAGCCACAAAGTATGTAGGACAATTAGTTTTTTTCCAGGTATCCATGCACCCAGATAAGAATCAGGGGTTCCACTACCAAGGAGAAAAGGGGAGAATGAACATGGAATGGGGAAGCAAATACTCTCTGTGACAAGTTATAAACGGGTCCTACTTGAGAGCTGGCTGGTTATTAAGGGTCAGATCCTCAGGTAGGAATCGTGTTCACAAAAACATGAGGATTGTTTCCCAACTATTTTGATAACATACTCATAACACCCTAACATCTCAAATTGGAATTACATTTCATTTTAGAGAATATGCCTTTCAACATTTTTTCAATTCTGATACGGAGTATTTATGGAGTAAAATTCTAGTTTTCAGCATAATGTATGACATTTTTACCAAAATAAATACTGTTTACTACCCTTCTAGGAGAAAACAGAATTGACATTAGGAATAATAATTCATCTATTTAATTTATTAATTTTCAATCTTCTCATACACTATATGCCAAGAACTATTGTGTGCTAATGATATAAATATAGACGATGTAATCCCTGCTCTCCTTGTTCTTGGCGTTGAACAAGATAAGAGAAATACACATGAAAGAGACAAAAATGAAGTTTATTTTATTTTTTTATAATATATATTTTTTATTTTAAAGTTGTGGGGTACAGTTAAGGGTTAGGTATACAAATATTCACTGTGCAGTTACCCTTGTTGATGAGGTGTGCCCCCCTTTCCCCAGACAGGTATTGACTACCATTAATCCCACCTCCCCTCCCCTCCAAGTCCCCAACCTCATAGTTTCCCGCCACTGTCAATTCTTTTCTTATAGTACTATGGTAGTTGTTCAAGGTCCACTTATGAGTGAGAACATAAGATCCTTGTTTATGTAAGAGATCACTCAGTATTATAAACTCTAATTCCATCCAGGTTGCTGCAAAATTCATGATTTTGTTCTTTTTTATGACTGCGTAATATTCCATTGTGTATATGTACCACATTTTTTAATCCAGTCCTCTCTTGATGGACAGCATGGTTGGTTCCATGATCTTGCTATTATGAACAATGCTGCAATAAACATACGTGTGCAGGTATCTTTTTTATAGAGTGATTTGAGTTCTTCAGGGTATATTCCCAGTAGGGGGATTGTGGGGTCATATGGAAGGTCGATTATTAGAGCTTTTAGGAATCGCCACACTGATTTCCACAGAGGCTGTACTAGTTTACACTCCCACCAACAGTATAGAAGTGTTCCCTTTTTGCCACATCCTCTTCAACATCTGTTATTTTCTGAGTTGTTGATAATGGCTATTCTGACTGGAGTTAGGTGGTATCTCAGTGTAGTTTTAATTTGCATCTCCTTGATGACTAGTGAGATTGAACATTTCTTCATGTATCTGTTGGCCGTTCATATGTCTTCTTTTGAGAAGTGTCTGTTCATATCTTTTGCCCACTTTGTAATGGGATTGTTTGTTTTTTACTTTTCAGCATGTTTGAGTTCCTTGTAGATCCTTGATGTTAGGCCTTTGTCAGACATGGAGTTGGTAAATACTTTTTCCCAGTCTGTGGGCTGTCTCCCTGCTATCTTGATGGTTTCTTTGGCTTTGCAGAAGTTTGTCAGTTTAATGAGGTCCCACTTGTCTATCTTATCTCTTATGGTCTGTGCATTTCGGGTTTTGCTCAGGAATTGGATGCCAGTTCCAACTTCCATAAGGTTGTGTCCTGCATTTCCTAAAGTTCTTATGGTTGGAGGTTTTACATTTAGGTCTCTGATCCATTTAGAGTTAATTTTTGTGTATGGGGATAGATAGGGGTCCTGTTTGAATCTTCTGCATGTGATCAGCCAGTTTTCCCAGCACCATTTACTGAATAGGTTCTCCTCTCCCAGTGGTGGCTGGTGGAGGCTTTGGCAAAGATGAGTTGGTGGAGAAATTGAGGTTTGGCTTCTGGAATCTCAATTCTATTCCATTGGTCTATATGTCTGTCCTTGTACCAATACCAGGCTGTTTTGATTATTGTAGCTTTATAGTAAAGTTTAAAGTCTGGTAGCGTGATAACTCCTGCTTTATTTATTTATTCACTTATTTATTTTTGCTGAGGATTGTTCTGGCTATTCTTGGTCGTTTGTATTTCCATATGAATTCCTGTATTGTTTCTTTCCAGATCTGAGAAGAATGTTGTTGGTAATTTGATGGGTATTGCATTAAATCTGTAGATTGCCTTAGGTAGGATGGATATCTTCACGATGTTGATTCTTCCAATCCATGAGCATGGGATATTTTTTCACTTGTTTGTGTCATCTTTGATTTCTTTGAGCAGTGTTTTGTAGTTTCATTGTAAAGGTCTTTCACATCTCTGGTTAGGAAGATGCCAAGATATTTCATTTTTTTGTGGCTATTGTGAATGAGATTATGCTTTTTATTTGGGTTTCTGTTTGTTTATTACTGGTGTAAAGAAATGCGATTGTCTTTTGCACATTTATTTTATACCCTGAGACTTTGCCAAAGTCCTTTATCAGTACAAGGAGGTTTTTGACAGATTCTCTTGGGTTTTCAAGGTACACAATCATGTTGTCTGCAAAGAGAGATAACTTGACTTTCTCTTTTCCTATTTGGATACCCCTGATCACCTTCTCGCTTCTGATTGCTCTAGCCAGGACTTCTAATACTATATTGAACAGGAGGGGTGAGAGTGGGCATCCTTGTCTTGTTCCAGTTTTCAGGGGAAATGGTTCCAATGTTTGTCTGTTCAGGAGTATGCTGGCTGTGGGTTTCTCGTAAATGGTTTTTACTATTTTGAGGTATGTTCCACATATGCCTAGATGTTCGAGGGTTTTTATCAAGAAGGGATGCTGGATTTTATCAAAAGTTTTTTCTGCATCTAATGATATAATCATGTGGTTTTTGTTTTGACGTCTGTTGATGTTTTTAATTACATTTATGGTTCTACGAATGTTGAACCAGCCTTGTGTCCCAGCGATGAAGCCTACTTGGTCATGATGGATGATTTTTGAGATGTGTTGTTGAATCCAGTTTGCTAGGATCTTGTTGAGAATTTTAGCATCTATGTTCATCAAAGATATTAGCCTGTAGTTCTCTTTCTTTGTTGGGTCTCTACCTGGGTTTGGGTATCAACGTGATGTTAGCTTCATAACATGATTTGGGGAGAGTTTCATCTTTCTCAATCATCTGAAATACTTTCTGTAGGATTGGTATCAGTTCCTCCTTAAATGTCTTACAGAATTCTGCTGGAAAGCCATCTGGTCCAGGGCTTTTTTTTTTTTTTTTGTAGGTAGTTTTCTTATTACATAATCAATTTCCTTGATTGCTATTGGTCTATTTAGGGTCTCGATTTCTTCTTGTTTCAGCCTAGGCAGCCTGTGTAATGTCAGAAAGTCCTCCATTTCCTTAAGGTTTTCAAGTTTGTTTCCATACAAGTGTGAATAGTAGTCTCTAATGATCTTTTGTATTTCTTCGGGGTCAGATGTGACTTCATCTTTTGTGTTTCTGATTGTGTTTATTTGGGCCTTTTCTCTCTTTTTTCCTGGTCAGTCTAGCTAGGGGACCATTGATCTTGTTTATCCTTTCAAAGAAACAGCATTTGTTTTGTTGATTTTTTGTATTATCTTTTTGTCTTCTATGTCCTGCATTTGGGCTTTCATTTTGGTGATCTGGATTCTTCTGCTAAAGTTAAGGTTTTGGTGGTCTTGCTTTTCCAGCTTCCTTAGGTGGCTTATTAGGCTGTTAATTTGTGATCCTTCCATTTTCTTCATGTGCATTTGTAGAGATATGAATTCCCGTCTTACTACAGCTTTCATGGTATCCCAGAGATTTTGATGTTTCTTCATTTTCATTTGTTTTCAGGTATCTTTTAATCTGTTTTGATTTCATCATTAACCCAGGAGTTGTTTATTGAGGGGGAAGCTGTGATTCAGAATCTATCTGCAGATCCCAGTATCCACCAACAGGTGTATGGGCACACTGGAACCCACTTCCCACTGCCTTACAATCTATACATGCAGTGGAGTTTAGGTTTGCTCCCTGGAACAAAAGGAGCTAAGAAAAAGAAAAATAATGGAAGAGGGGTGGTCAAGAGGAAGTTGGAGAGAGAGAAGAGTAAGAGGGAAAACAGACACACATACCAACTAACGATGAAAAGAGACACAAGACCAGAAAAGAGTAAAAAACAAACAAAAAAAATTTAAGCTTACTGGTAATCACACATAGACAGTCCAATAAAATCATGCCTTTTGATGTGTTTTTCCCCAACACAAACAGGTAGTAGTCTAAATCAAAAAGCAAACAAAAGTGAACAAAACAAACAGTCAAAACAATATAA